GTTTATGATGGACGTATTGACGAATCCTAGGAGAGGAGGTAAGGGATAAGGGATAAAGGCTATATATGTGTATATATATACGAGGTCTGTTCAAAAAAGTACCCGGAATTTTCGTTTTTTCAAAAAAATATTTATTTATTCGACTACATTAATGTGGTCCCCTTCAAAGTAGTCCCCCCCAGATATAATACACTTATGCCAGCGTTTTTCCAATTTTCGAAGCACCCTTGATATTCACTTTTTGATATGTCCTTGAGCACTCTCGGCGATTCGGCCTTTATTTCTTCAATCGAGGAAAACCGCCGTCCTTTCATGGGTCTCTTCAACTTTGGGAATGGGAAAAAGTCACACGGAGCCATATCTGGTGAATTTTTGCACTTTGCAACACTTTATTTCATTTTTTACGCAAAATTTAATACAAATTCTTTGACTTTTTCAATTCTTCCATTGTAAAAATCGCCGAGCTCAGAAAAACACGTCGAACCTTAGCGACCACCACAGACAAAGTAAACAGTGAATATAGCTGAAAATTTCATCATACTTTAGGGGCATGTATACCAACACAATAAAAAAAAATTTGACAATCAGACACTCCAGACCCGCGAAATTTAATTATTAGTAATTCCGGGTACTTTTTGAACACACCTCGTATGTATATATATATATATATATATATTATATATATTCTTTGTTTGATGTATCGCCCTCAAGAACTCACTCATATATATATATATATATATATATATATATATATATATACTAGCTGATCCGGCAAACCTTGTTTCGCCATAAAAAATATTTCTAGTATAAGATGTTTAGTACGAAAATAACTAACTGATTGCAAATGCGGTGCACGAGTGAAAGGAGCGGCTAACAAAAAATATATGAATAGTTCTCCCACTGCAAAGCACGCCACATATAAATGTCTCGTTAATAGTCTTTGCAAGAGCCAATCTAATCCGAAACTGATTTTATTTAAATTGAATTGGCATTTTTAAAGTTTCAAGATTTCGATATATTATTACCGCGCTTTTGCATTTGTTCAGTAATTTTTGAATTACGAATCTAAATCTGATAAGTCATTTTTAATTATATTGTTATGTGGCATGTCCAGCAATTTGAATGGGATTGAAAAAAATGAGATAGTGGAAAATTTTACAACTTTCCCCTAGATTTGTAAGGTACCTATAGGTTCCTGTCAAAAACTGTTGTATCTTCAGATTTTTATATGCAATCTTTTTATTTATTTGCAAAAATAACTCTTTATGCAAACTATTTATCAACTTTGTACTGTTTGTGCGTATCGCTAAATATTTGTACAAAGGGAAAATGACAGGGGTAGATAACCCTTTATAAAAATGAAAAGTTTTATTTAAGTAAAATTAAAAATCAGTTAAACTGACTGAAAGAGTGGTGAAAACTTATTCTATTACTAAAATGGCTATTATGAAATAGAGATTTGTGTAAGGAGGGTGATAATTTAGAGCTTTATGCATTTTCACTTTAAAAAAATTAAATTAAAAAAAAATTGATTTCAAAACTAAAAAATACGTTAGTCGTGGATAACCCTTGATGAAATTAAATAGCTTTTCGAAGTTAAAAGAGTTCCATGAAGAAAATAGGTCATAAAATATAAAAAAAATGTCAAGAGAGAACAACCCTTGATAAAAATAATGTTTTGAAGTTAAAGTTGTATGTATTTTGTCAATTCCGCATTATAAAATATAAAATAAAAAACTTGACCCCAAATTTAAACTAGTAGGGCTCATGGCATCGTGACTTAAGGCAAACTGCTGAAACTTCCCGTACCAAAAAAAATTTTTTTAAAAAAGATAAACATTTTTGAAGAAAAAATTACTTTGAAGAAATTAGATTTTTGAGAAACTAAATTTTTGACAAAAATTTACTTTTTTTGAAAAAGACTTTTTGAAATTTACTATTTTTGGTTTTCTGCATTAACTTTCCCTAGAATAAGTTATAGTAATTGCAAAAAAATTGAAAATTAAAATATATCTCTATCCATTTTTTCTAATTTATGCCAAAATGTTCGGAAACCTTTGAAACGTAAAGATATATACAAATTTTCATTTTCGACTTTTTTGCGATTACTATAACTTACTCTAAGGGAAGTTAAAAAGTATTAGGATTGGACAACCCTTAATAATAATGAATTGTTTCTAAAAATCAGCTATAATATTATTTATGAACATAATAATAATAAATGGTATTAAAATTGTCAAAACCCTAGAAATTTTATTATCATTGACATTGAGAAGATAATTATTTTCAACTAAACAATTGAAAACTTCATTGTTACAATTTTAAAAGTTGCTGAAACTCATTTTTTTTTGTAAAATCTATTATTGTTACATATAGGGAAGTTTTTGCAACTTGCTTGAAGTAAAAATGCCATTTATACATAGTTTCGTTTCTTTAGTATGTTTTTGATATAAATTTTATTATTTTATTAAAAAAAAGGAAATAATAAACCTAATACTCTCTTTTCATATTGTGTATTATAATTTTGATTAAATTTAACAAATATTATGTAAAGGAATATCCTTAAAAATCATTTAAATTTAATAAAATTTAAAATTTTTCTTCAAGCTTAAAAATCTGAACTAAAATTATGTCAAAAATATTCAATGACTGAACGCGGGATGAAAAATGATTGAACTACAAAAGGCTATAAAAAAATAGTGGTTGGTGATAAAAGTGGTATGTAAAAATTTTGGGTTGTATGTATTTTGTAATGTCACATTATAAAAAAATAAAAGCAAAAAAATCCGTTCAAAAATTACAAAAAAAAATAAGGGTGAACAATCCTTATCACTTAAGGGTATGAAAAATAGATATTAGCCGATTTTCAGACCTACTGAATATGCATATAAAATTTGGTAATAATCGGTAAAGCCGTACGTATGATTTGATACTTTTCCTAAACGGTTCGGATTTTGATAATGCTTTTTAGAGTTTGTCGAAGGAAATTTTTAAGATTTAATGAACGGTAAAACTATAGTAATATTGTAGAAATGAATGGCAGAAATTACAAAAAAACACTTATCATTTTTTGACATTGAAAACATTTGAACTGTCATCTACTAGAAATGTCGATTCACTTGAAATTTGAATTTAGCTGAAATTATTAGCCTAGATAATATTAGAATATAATATACAAGGAAAATGTAATGTCTACATTATTATTGCCGATGTGCCAGGAATTAAAATAATATAACATACAGTCAACATAAAAATGTTTGGCAGATGAAATTATATAATTCAGTTTAATAAATAACGCAACAAGCCGAAAATTGCATATACATTATTTCTTTAAACTTGTGCATGTCGCATTTTGGTTTACTTCACTGAATTATTTAACAATACAAAAACATATTTCTACTTATTAAAAAATGATTTAGAATTTTGTTTAGTGTGTCAAAAATTCATCGGATATGGAGGAATATTTAGCAAGTTGATCTTAGATTGAATAGTGCACATATGAACTAGATTTTACAAACTAATTCGCCAAAGATTTGAACATGAACAATAATGTTTATTAAATTATTAGTAAGAAAAATGTACTTTAGAAACTATAATTGCCAAAAACCAACTAAGACTAAATTATTGAAGCAATTATGTTGTGTGGTGAAATCAAGTGTGATATTGTTCTTGTACCGTCGATACTATATTATTTTTTTCTGAATTTCTTATACTGCTTTTGCTAAGACCATAAATGAATCACAAAGGCGGCAGGACATCGAATAGAATATTAAAAAGTATAGACTATTAAAAAACTTTGAACTTTTGAAATGTAGACATTGGTACAGGACAACGTCTGTCGGGTCATCTAGTATATATATATATATATATATATGAGTAAGTTCTTCAAGGGCATACATCAAATAAAAGGCAAAGATTTAGAAGTTAATCTTTAATTTTTCCAAACGTTTCGACATAGTATTTTATGTCATCATCAGTGGATATAAATATGGTCTTACATCAGTAGCTAGCGCAAGGAACACAATTTTGCACTATCATATATACATTAACTTGTTTTTTTTTATATTAATTTGTTGAACAGAGTATAGCAAAATATTTGTGAAATATATAATATATTTTGCACAGAGAACGTAGTTTATGTGACAGAGCCCGAGGCTGTAGTAACATGTGTTTAAAAATTATTTGAAGAGACCGAAGAGAGAAATAATTTTTAAACACATGTTACTATCGATGATATACAATAATATAGTATAGTAAGATAGGTAATAGGTTATCTATCGTATTATTAGGTTAAGTCTTATAAAGTATTCTAACAAATCTCGAGTACTTTTATATTATAATAAATACTTGTAGGTATGTGAATACAAATGTTGTATAATGAATACAAATAATACCAGAATAAATATAATTAATAATATTAAAGAATATAAATTATGTACTCAATGATTCCCTCATACTTGTACAATTTAATGTATAGACTAGCTAGCTGTGTATAATAGAGTTAATTATATAAAAAGTCAATATATTAGATTTGTGAGTTCTTATCGAAATATATCAAATTTTTTGAACCGGATTTTAAATTTTAGCATTCCGGCAAAAAAATATTAGCACAACACCACAGATATTTTTTTTTAGGTAAAATCGAGCAATCCTGGGCCCGACAACTATCAGAATCCGCCAGCAACCGCTACTCCTTCGTATGCAATGCAATTTTGTGCGTCTGCCGAGAAACCGACAACGACAGGCTAAATGACATAGCCATCACCTGCGCCGAATTGACTGCCTGCTGCAATACACTTGCTGCAGAATGGTTGGCCGTGTTAATGGCCCTGTGCTGCTCCGGAACTCATAGCCAGAGCTTTTATATGGATGTTCTAGATCAGGTCGATGTGCACGATTTGGGAATACATAATTCGTTGGCTGTTTTCACATGCATTTTAATAGGTAATAATTGTAGAATTTATGTTGAAAGTTTATGTGAATAATAATACAACCGTTTATGCAGAAGGATAAACACAGACTGACTGATTATATATTCTTTAACTAATCACATTCATTACAAAATATTATTAACAATCACTTGTTTTACATAAAACAAAAGACAAACATATATACATAAACATAGTAGACACAGAGCGTTTAGTATCAAACTTCAACAATAATTAGATTTATAACTAGTGGTGTATGGCATCGTGCCTTAAGGTAAATTGCTGGAACTTCCCGTACCGTAATGAAATCTTCGAGAAGTTTTAAACGTTTTCAAATATATTATTACAAATACTGTAACTTTCATTATTTCTGCTATCTTATTGTTATATCTGAGCAAATCAAATGTGAATCATGAATCAATTATTACATTAACAATCGTCATTTCATTTCGAATCAAATTTCAAAAAAAAAAAATAGTTGCCTAATTTGCACAAAATTGAAAAAGTTTATTTTGTTGAAACAAGCAGAAAGTTCTTTAAGTCATTTAAATCGGACACTTAGTTCTCTCAAAAACTGCCATTTTTTTAACATTTAGCTCTGTATCTCCAAAACCGCTGGGCCTACCTTTTCCAAAAACTAATCAGCACATCTCCCTATCAATAGGAATCGAATGTTTTTTAAACCATTCAAATCGGTTGATCCGTTCCCTCAAAAACTCGCTTTCTATTTTCTGCACTCTTTGCTCCATATCTCCGTAACGGCTGGACCTGCCTTTGCCAAAAACTAATCAGCACGTCTCCCTATCAATAGGAATCGAATGTTTTTTAAACCATTCAAATCGGTTGATCCGTGCGCCCGAAAACGTGGACGATAAAACGCGGACATACAAAACACACACACACACTCACACACACACACACACACACACACATCCATTTTTTCTGAAGTATGCCAAAATGTTCAGAAACCTTCAAAACGTCGAGAAATGTAAAAATTTTTGATTTCGATTTTTGGACGATTACTATAACTTACCCTACGGGAAGTTAATAATATTATTTATAACTAGTGGTGTATGGCATCGTGCCTTAAGGCAAATTGCTGGAACTTTCCGTGCCGTAATGAAATATTCGAGAAATTTTAAACGTTTTCAAATATATGATACAAATATATCATACAAATACTGTAACTTTCATTACTTTTCCTATCTTATTGTTATATCTGAATTAACTCTGTGATAATTTATCTTGAAGTTTCCAGGAAAATTCATATTTGTCATTTCATTTTTAATCAAATTTCAAAAAAAATTTAAAACAAAGCTCAGATCTGCAAGCAAATATCCAATCCTCACCAAATTTTCTTCAGCAATAAAAAATCAAACATCCTATTACAACTTAGTATGTTCATCAAGACCATGTACTCTATAGCCAAAATAATCAAGAAAACATATAATGAGCAAATTGGATTTTCTGGCAAAAACATAAACTTCTTATTCAAGAAATCTCAAATTTTTATTTAATATTTACACAAAATTGAAAAAGGCTCCCGTATAGTCACAGTCTAAACACACTTGCAAATAATTTTGTGCGTCACTTTGACTTAGACTGTGTTTTGTTGGCGGCATTTTTACATTTTTCAATAGTTTTCACAAAATTGAAAAAGTGCTCCCGTATAATCACAGTCTAAACGCATTTACAAATAATTCCGTACGACATTTTCGCTTATACTGTGCCTAGCTCGGCGGCATTTTCACATTTTTCAATAGTTTTCACAAAATTGGAAAAGTTCTCACATAAACAGTCTAAACGCACTTGGGTAAACATTTGTACCAGAGTGGCGCTTAGACTGTGCTTAGCCTGGGTATTTTTTTCAATTTTTAACCCATTACAAGTTAATAATACATATTTAATTTTTTGTAATTTTAATTAATTGTATTTATTTTTTCAGCTCGCCATTGCTTCTCTCTGGAGGATCTTGTTCGACATGTTGCTCTACCTTCGTTTGTTAAGGTAAGTTATTAATTTATTTATATGCATATATATATATATATATATATATATATATAGCTGACCCGGCAAACGTTGTTTTGCTAAGTAAGGTATATTCTAAACAATTTCTAGAAGAATCAAAAATATTAATACTTCAAGTGTATAATAAGGATGTGTTGTTTGAATGGTATAAACCCCATTAGATTGTCTATATTTAGTCAATACAATCAAACTGCTGGAAGTTTTATACACTTTCTATAAAAAACATGGTATAACCCAATCCAAGTCATTTTTGGTCTTTCGACTTATTGATTACGTTACAAGTTTTTCAGATCCTTTTTGGATTCTGGATTTTGTGTATAATTGTAAATAAATTGGTACTACTGAGCTATACAAAATTTTCAAATTTCTGCAAGGAGAAATAGAAAATGAATGGAATAACATAAATAAAAAATAATATGACCTAGAAAATGTTTTATAAATACCAATGAGTATATAATTATACAAATGAGAGCTTTCAGAGCACCGTGTTTGAGAAAAATATGCCAAAAAGTGCATTTTCATATTAACAATTAAAAAAAGTTGACATTGTTGAGTTTCTAGTAACACTTGCGACCCTATTACATGATTTTACTGAATTGCAAATTTATAGCTGTTTTTGTAAGAAACATGTGTGATTTTATATTTTTATAATTTAATACACATATTAAGAAATAACATACTAAAATTTTGTAACTCCAGTATACCGTTTTATATTTTTAAATATTTTTCAAAATACTCATCAAACCGTGGACTTGCAACTAATGCAAGAGTGCATTTGTATACAAAATTGTACATTTCTAGCTTTTTTTGTTAGAAACATATGTGATTTTATATTTTTATAATTGAGTACATATATTAAATAATAACATACTAAAATTTCATAGCTCTAGTATAATATTGTATATTTTTAAAATATTTTACAAAGGTACTTGTCATATCATATCCAACCGTCGATTCGCAACTAATAAAAATAGAGTATGCAAGTGTGCATTGCAATTTTTTAGTTTCTTCTGTCAGAAACGTATTTGATTTGATATTTTTATAATTCAGTATACGCATTAAGAAATAACATACTATAATTTCATAACTGTATTACAACGCTTTATATTTTTAAAATATATTTTAAGCCGTCAATTTGTTTACGTCAAAGTGTTTACTAACGTTTTTGTATATAAATAAAACTACGAACAAAACTACTTACTACAATTTAAATATAATTAAATATTCACGTATAACATCCTATTAAACGTAATTGAACAACAACCGTCAAAAACATTTGACATTTGACGTATTAGCCACCGTCCATTGTTTCATTTAAATTACGCTTCTACAAAAAATTTTAAATTAAAAATGTAAAATTTCTACGCGATTTTGAAATGATATCTCACCTTTCCGACAATCTACTGATTAGCACGAATTTTTCAAGACTAAGACTGGCCAAATCGGTTTAGCCGTTTTCGAGTTTTAGCGAATATATATATATATATATATATATATATATATATATATATATATATATATATATATATATATATATAATGTAATATTTTTTAATATTGTTTCAGGTATGCCGTGGCGATATACCTCTCGATGCTGAAGCTGGAGCAAGACTGACTTGTCATTTACTGTTAAGGCTATTTAAGACTGTAGAGTGCCCTCAACCAGGTAATTTTAGATAGAATATATATATATATATATATATATATATATATATATATAATATAAATAATCATAGAATACAGAATAATAAAATTTAGTTAGAAATGTACTATTTGCGGGACATAATTAGAAATATAACTATCTGTAACCGATCGCGCGTTGAAGCATCATCAAGTAAAATAACTCAATCAGCATCGTTTTTTAAAAGATTTCTAACAGGTATCACAAAATGTAACACACACACGGCCATTGACTGTATCTGATTTCAAAAATTATTGAAATTTAAAAAAAAATCTATTTCTTAGAAAAATTTGAAAATGTTTCGAAATTTAAAAAAAAAATCTAATGGTTTCAAAAAATTCAAAATTCTCCAAAAATGTAAAAAAATCGTATTTTCCAAAAATTTCGAACTTTTAAAAAATTTGCAAAAAAAAAAATTACTAATTTATCAAAAACATCAAATTTAAAAACAAATTGAACAAATTTCTTGTAAACATACACATATGTTGTTTGTAGAATACGCTCGTCGCCCAATTCAATAAGCACATATAAATTTACAGTAATTATTTATAATAAATAATCTAATTGAAATTATTTAAAACAATTATCGATTATTTTTATTCTTTTAATGTTTAATTACTGTACGGGAAATTTCAGCAATTTGCCTCAAGACACGATGCCATACACCACTGGTTAATATATTTATTTTATTTTCTCAGGAATGTACTCAGTGAGCACATCGCCTCACCCAATTCCTACCCAGGGCCCTCAATATTCCATAAAACTCAGCTGTGATAGACATTTGTTGGCTGCCGCTCACAAAAACATTAGCGTGGAGCCAATATTGGCTGTACTGAAAACCATATTGGGTAAGTGACTTAATTTTTATATTAAGGGACCGATTCTGCTGTACAACTGAAAAATGTTATGGCAAGGCCATGTTACGCTTTAACTTGCATACATTATGCTACTGAATCATACTGAATACTATCAAAATGTCACGTATTTGCTGTGCATTCAGGCGTTTTGCACATAATCTGCAACGTCACTCGTATGTTATGAAGCTGTGTCAGAAAGACCCTGTTATCTAACATCATTGTTTTGATATTCGTGCGGTTTCTAGGTTAGATTTTCTATCTGACAACCTGTGAAAAACGCCTGGCTGCATAGCAACCACATGACTTTGTCAATATTTAATATGGAAAGTTCTTCATAACATAGCCTTGCCATAACATTTTTTATTATGCGGCAAAATCTGGGAAAAATCTTAATTTTTTATTATATTGTTTGTGTCTCGTATTGCAGTTGTCGGTGATACTACAGCACGTGATGGTGGCAATTCCAAAAATAATGGAAAACGTAGCGGACTGTCGACGCCCGTACACCCAGGTAGCACTCCGAAGGGTCAACTTGGGGCAAGTGAATTATCACACATTTTGGGAACCAGTGATATGAGTCTTATTGGAGCTGCTGATGACCCTATGCTGGACTTGACGTATGTACTATTATTATAATAATAAATTTAGATTAATGGACCGATATTGACGCATAACAGACAAATGTTATGGCAAGGCCATGAAGAACTGAATATTGACAAAAGACATGCGGTTGCTGTGCAGTCAGGCGTATTTCTCATAGAATACTTAGCCTAGAAACCGCACAAATGTTAAAAAAACTATGCTAAGTAACAGGGTGTTTCTGACTCAGCTTCATAACATACGAGTGAGTTTAAAAAATTAAATTGTGTTATTTGGCATGTTGGGTATCGTTTGAAAGGTCTTTTTGAATAGAATCCGGATATTGCAATCAACTATGTGATTTGTCCACAAAATTTACACATGTAACAGAGCAGTCTAAAGAAGTTTTACTTCAAAATGTTAGATTGTTACTTTTATTACGTTTTATGGCGTTGCAGTTTACGTGTAAAGCGCCTGAATGCACAGCAAGTACATGACATTTCGACAGTATGATTCAGTAGCATAATGTATGCGATTTAGAGCTTATCATGGCCTTGCCATAACATTAGTATAATTTTAAAATATCCTTTACCTATTTGGTTTTTTTTATTACAATTTCATCTAATTTTTTTCTTGGACAGGATGGTAGATTTGGAAGCAGGAAATCGTCATGCTCAAAGGTCAATTTTTTTAAATAGAATTTTATGAATGTCCGCTTTTTGTTTGTCTGTGTTTTTGTCGTGATTGTAAATAAATATTACATCTTGCTTTTTGCATTCATGCATATAATTTTTGTTGTGTTGCGTTTAATAATACTTTTTTTTAATTCATTGCTTTGAGCTCACCTAATTATATACACGAAGTAATAATTATAAATATTTTCAATTATAATTGTATTTAATTATATAAATTTAAATACAACTAGTAGTGTATGGTATTGTGCGTTAAGGCAAATTGCTGGAACTTCCCGTACCGTAATGAAATATTCGAGAAATTTTAAACGTTTTCAAATAAATTATTACAAATACTTTCAGTAACTCTCATTATTTTTGCTATCTTGTTATATCTGTATTGACACTTTGAGCAAATCACATGTAAATCATAAGTCAATTTATCATTTCTAATTCAATTTCAAAAAAATAGTTACGTCAAATTTACACAAAATTGAAAAAGTGCTCCGTATGGTCACAGTCTAAACGCACTTGCAAATAATTTTGTGCGACATTTTCACTCAGACTGTGCTTTGCTCGGCGACATTTTTACATTTTTCAATAGTTGAAAAGCGGTCCCGTACAGTTACAATCTAAACGCACTTGCGAAAACATTTGCACCAGGTTATCACTTAGACTGTGCTTAGTATGGGTAATTTTTTGAAATTTTCACCCGAAATTACATTTTTATAATTTATTTATCTAGATTTAAAATTATTATCCGAATAATTACCGATATTCAAAAAATACATTTTTGGAAATTAAAAAGGAAATGAAATTTATGCATGGTGGTGCATGGCATTGAGGCAAATTGCTGGAACTTCCCATACCGTAATGAAATACTCCAGGAAAATGAAATGTTTTCTGAATAAATATTGTAACTTTCTTTTTTTGTATTTTATAGACAAAATATTAGAGCTTACGAATTGGACTTACGATCTTGAGAGTAAGATGAACCTAATTCGAAAATTTCACGACGACGTTTATATATGTTTACATGAAAAATAAATAAACAAAACTTAATCAAGCGAAATTGGATTAAAGGATCCTTAAAAGATCATATTTTTTAGAATTTTACAAACTGAATTGCAAAGTTAACATTTTTTCAAGTATATAAGCGACCGTTACAACTTTATCTAGAATTAAAATTAAAATCCGAATTATTTTCTGTTATTAATTTTTTTTAATTACCCGTAGGGTAAGTTATAATAGTCGCAAAAAAATCGAAAATGAACTTTTATATATCTTTACATTTCAAACGTTTTTGAACATTTTAGCATACTTTAGATAAAATGTATGTGTGTGTGCGGATACAATTTTTTGCGATGATTTCGATATTTCGACTCTTAAAACAGCTAAGCAGCCATCGCTTTAAAAAAAGTTCAAACTTATACAAACTTCAAAATATAAAAAAGTCAAATCTTCAAAAAATTTCAAACTATAAAAAAATCAAATTTTTCAAAAAAGTCATTTTTTTTCAAAAGTATTAAAATTCTAAAAAAACTAATTTTTTCAAGGTTCAGAAAGATTTTTTTTTTAATTCTAGTTTTTGGTACGGGAAAAATGTACTTGCAAAACGGCGAAAATAAACGAATTTTCAGTACCGAGTAACTTGAAAAGTATTCGTTTTTTTGAAAAACTTTATGAAAGATTTTTTTCTCTTATCTTATTTAAAAAAAAATATAAGATGACACCACTGACAAGGGGTGTCATCTTCCCGGAGTCTAAATTGTTTTCACTTTTGAACTTGAGAGTAAGATGAACCTAATTCGAGAATTTCACGTAAATTGGAGCACAGTACAAAAATCAGACCGAAAACGACGCTCTATTGACTGAAGTAAAATGTATAGCGCTCTTTCTTTCCTTCACTACGAAAATATCTTTTATCTCTCTCTCGCGTAACAAAATGAGCATATTACAATTTTGAACCTGGTAACCAAATTTCATCAATATTTTTGTTTTACATAGTTTGCTTTTGATAAAATAAAAATAAATGTACATAGGCATGGAATATATTAATATTTTTGCTTCACCATTTAATTCACATTTATAAATTTTAATTTTTTTTGTTTATGTACAGCATTGTGATGTCAGTTATATTTTTTAAATAATTAAATCTATTTTTATACCATCACTAATTTCATGTTGTCAATAATTTCTAAAATGTTGTCATAATCATTTGTTCCACAAGGTGTTGGAATGTTTAATATGAATCGATGCTGAAATTTACAGTAACATTTGCTTGCATGTTTGTCATTTTGCACATCTATAATTTTTTACACATTTATATTTAAATCATATTTATTAATATCAAATTAATTGAATCAATTCAATTATTTTGTAGCATTTTGCAAATACACATGTTCCTATTTTTTTTTTAAATGTTTTAAATGTTATATTTTAAATACTAATGTATTATTATTTATAGTAGGATACACCATTCGAATAATTCAGAAAACGTTTCAAGTCTTTCTGAATTTGCACAGCATGTGTTGAGGGAAATTTGCTCACAGGTAAATTAACTAAAATATTCATTATACTTTTTATTTAACTGAAAAATACATATATTTGTCTTTGTAAGAAATTGTTTTTAGAATAATATTTGGAATAATTTTTTTTCTATTTTTTTTTCTTTTTAGGAATGGGTTCTAGAAAGATGTCTGCAAAATCCTGATGCCCTTTGCGATCCCGATCTCCTGTTAGATAATATGCTAACTCCGAAACAAGCACAAAGGTATGAAATTTTTAATTTATTAACAATATTATAAAAAACTATATTTAATATTTGTTTTATTATTTTTTTTAGATTGCTGCATATGATATGTTATCCTGAAAACGCAGCAAATATGAAGGAGGATATCGATCAGAAGTCTATTATCGTGCGAATTTTAGAGGTAAGTAATTATTTTATTTATATTATTAAATATTCTCTCGGTTAATGTCGTATATGTCAACACTTTGGGCATATCATGAAGCACTGTAAAATTTGTAGGTACTAATGAGTTGCACTTGTAAATATCATATGCCTGAAGATATTATAATTTATTTTAAATTTCAAATGTTGCTTATCAGTTGAATCCATTTTCTCAAAATTAATTATTTTACTGATTTGTTATTCAAGTTGCTGGTCAGTAGAGTCATTTTTCTGCAAATTATTCATTTTACTGATACGTTATTCAAGTTGCTCATCAGTAGAGTCCTTTTTCTCCTAAATAACCATTTCAATGATCCGTTATTCCAGTTGTTCGTCAGTACAACTAGACAGTTAGTTTACTGAATTGTTATGCAAATTTCTTGTCAATAGAGTCGTTTTTTTTCAAAATTATTTATTTTACTGATATGTTATTTAAGTTGCTCGTCAGTAGAGTCTTTTCTCTCCTAAATAACCATTTTACTGATCTGTTATTCCAGTTGCTTGTCAGTATAGTCCTTTTCTCAAAATTATTTATTTTACTGAATCGTTATTTAAGTTGCTCGTCAGTATAGTCCTTTGTCTCAAAGTTAATTACATTTTACTGAATAATTTATTTATTTAAGTTGCTCGTCAGTAGAGTCCTTTTCCTAAAATTTAATCATTTTAATAATTTGTTATTAAACTTGCTCGTCAGTAGAGTCCCTTTTCTCAAAATTATTTATTTTACTGAATCGTTATTTAAGTTGCTCGTCATTTTAATAATTTATTCCAGTTGCTCGTCAGTATAGTCCTCTGTCTCAAAGTTAATTACATTTCATTGAATCACAATTTAAGTTGCTCGTCAGTAGAGTCCCTTTTCTCAAACTTTATTATTTTACTGATTTGTTATTCAAGTTGCTGGTCAGTAGAGTCCCTTTTCTCAAAATTATTCATTTTGCTGATACGCTATTCAGATTGCTTGTCAGTAGAGTCCTTTTTCTTAAACTCAATTATTTTACCGGTCTATTATTTAAGTTGCTTGTCAGTAGAGTCCTTTGAACTTTGCCATGTACATACTTTACAAAAGGATTCTACTGATGAGCAACTTAAATAAATAAATAATTTTGAGAAAAGGGACTCTACTGACGAGCAAGTTTAGTTTTAATGTTTTATACTAGTGTTGCGCGTTAGTAAAATCCTCTTATTAAAATTTAATCATTTTAATAATTTGTTATTAAACTTGCTCGTCAGTAGGGTCCCTTTTCTTAAAATTATTTATTTATTTAAGGTGCTCGTCAGTAGAGTCCTTTTCCGGTAATTAAAATTATATGTTTTACTAATTTTTATCCCGAAATTAATTTGCTTGCCAGTAGAGTCCTTTTTCTGTCGTTAAAATTGGATATTTTACAAATTTTGATTTTTCTAGTTGTAAGTTAATTTCTATCACGGATTTAAGTTGCTCGTCAGTAGAGTCCCTTTTCTCAAAATTAATAGTTTTACTGAATTGTAATTCAAGTTGCTGGTCAGTAGTGTCATTATTTTCAAAATTATCTATTTCACTGATTTGTTATTCGAGTTGTTTGTCTGTAGAGTCCTTTTTTCGTCATTTAATTAAGTTATTTTACTAATTTCTACCCCAAAATTAAGTTGCTCGCCAGTAGAGTCCCTTTTCAGTCGTGAAAATGAGATATTTTGCAAATTTTACTAGTTGTAAGTTAATTTTAATTTTTATCACGGATTTAAGTTGCTCGTCAGTAGAGTTTATTTACTTCTGAGCACACGTTATTATTTATCATTTTACAAATTTCTAATGTCGCTCGTCAGTAGAGTCCCTTTTTATACGGGCACATACTAATGTTGATTTTTTTTTTAAGTTGAACGTCAGTAGAATCGATTTTTGGCCATGTAACTAATTATTTTACTAATTTCTATCATAGATTTAAGTTGCTCGTCAGTAGAGTCTTTTTTTGTCGTTGAAATTAGTTATAATAGTTATTCTCGGCGACGTGCAATGTCATATATGTCAACACTTTGGACATAACATGAAGCACTGTAAAATTATAGGTACTGATGAGTTGCACTTGTGTAAATAAAATAGGCTTGAAGTCGTACTAATGTTATTATGATATTTGTGCTATTTGGAGGTTAGTTGACAGTATCAAAAATTTAAATAAACGCATGTATAAACATCTTAGGTATAGAATTAAGCCAACTTAAGAAAATATGATTTGTTAAAATAAAATAGGTGCACTGAGAATAGAAAAAATACCAAGAATTGTAAGAAAATGGGAGGGTATTTTTTAATTTACATTTTTTTTTATTTGTTTAGAATTTGGAACAATGGAGTTTACGTATGTCCTGGTTGGAATTACAATTAATGTTCAAACAATATCCTAATGTGGGCTCGTCTGAATTGAACCAGTGGCTGGATATGGTTGCAAGAGCAGCAATTGATGTGTTTCAGATGCCACTGGATTCTCAGGAAAAAATAAACAGGTATTTTAAACTAAAATTGATCAAAATTTTTCAAGTTTGTTTATTGTAATTTTTTTCTAGTGCTGATAGAAGTAAAAGCAAAAAAATAGAATCGATTTGGCTGGTTGCTCCTTTGGTCTCCAAATTACCGAGTGTCCAAGGAAGAGTCCTAAAAGTCGCCGGACAAGTTTTGGAATCAGGTAAGGATTTGTCAAAAATATGTTTTTATCGTTTTTATTTATCAATTATTTTTTTTAGGCAATTGGTGCAGTAACAAGTGCAGAAACGATTCCAAAAACAACGGAAACAACTCATCAGATTCGTCCAGGAATAAAAGTAAAGGATCTGGACCGATGTTAAATCATTTACCGTTTCTCGGATTAATTCTTACTTGTCTCAAGGGACAGGATGAGCAGAAGGAAGGATTGTTGACGTCTTTGCATTCGCAATTGTCGCAGTTTTTGCAACTTTCGAAAGATGTAAGAAAATTTAATATTATTAACTTCCCGTAGGGCAAGTTATAGTAATCGCAAAAAAATCGAAAATGAAAATTTTTGCATTTCTCGACGTTTCAAAGGTTTCTGAATATTTTGGCATACCTTAGAAAAAATGGATGTATGTGTGTGTGTGTGTGTGTGTGTATGTATGTGCGGATACAAATTTTTGTCGACGATTTCGGGAACACGGATCAACCGATTTGAATAATTCAAAAAACATTCGATTCGTATTGATAAAGAGACGTGCTGATTAGTTTTTGGCTAAGGCAGGTCTAGCCGTTCCGAAGATACGGGGCAAAAGTGCCGAAAACGGTAACTCAGTTTTTAGGAGAACGGAGCGTCCGATTTGAATAATTCAAAAAACATTTCACTTGTATTGACAAGATGAAGAATCGATAAAATTTTCATAAAGGTAGGTCTAGCGGTTTCGGAGGTATGGAGGAAAAAGTAAAAAAATTAGTCATTTGGCGCTCAAAAATGATCATTAGACATATGCACATAAAGTTATCAGATATTTTATAGAGATTTCAACAATCAGTATACATTTTGTTAACATTCCTATGGGTTCCGTACCAATGCTTATGCGTTAGACAGCGACGCGGCGCTTACGCGCTTTATATTATACAATATGTCAAAATAAAGAAAAATTTTTTTTTCAAAAAAAAACAAAAAAAAAATTAAAAAAAAAATATTTTTTTTTTTTAAATTTTTTTTTCAAAAAGTAATTTTTTTTCCAAAATGTTAATCGTTTTTAAAAAAATACTAATTTTTGGTACGGGAAGTTCCAGCAATTTGCCTTAAGGCACGATGCCTTAATTGCCTTAAGACAGAATTTCACTTACAGCTAGTTATCACTTATAATTATCTTTCTGAAGGAGAAGTTTGTTTTCGTCAAAAAAACCGATTCGCTAATTTTATGTTTTCTCCTGCACGTTTCAAGACATTCTGACTCGAATGAGACCAAATTTGGAAAAAGTATGTGTGTGTGTGAAAAGATTTTTTACCTACGACGTTTTCTCAAAAACGGCTAGACCGATTTCAAATTATAGTAATCGCACAAAAATCGAAAATGAAAATTTATATGTATCTTTACGTTTCAAAGGTTCCAGAACATTTTGCCATACTTCGTGTGTGTTTTTTTCTTTTTTTGTATAGCGAGATAAATGCTTCGATGCATCCCAGACTAGGTCTTTTGTCTGGGTATGTCGGACTCAATACCGTCTAGGTATAATACCGACTAAAATCTCCGCTTTGCACTTGCCTCTGATTCCCATGGAAACCGCCGTTAGGCATTATTTCGTAGGGGGAGGATCTAGAATGTTATCATTCTTACCTTGTATTTATACTCATCTTTTGAATTTGATGTGTGTGTGTATATATGTATGTATAAATGCAATTTTTTGTCCACGTTTTCGGGCGCAAGGACCAACCGATTTGAATGGTTCAAAAGGAATTCGATTCATATTGATAGGGAGATGTGCTGATTAGTTTTTGGCAAAGGCAGGTCCAGCCTTTACGGAGATACGGAGCAAAGAGCGCAGAAAATAGAAATCGATCGATCATAGAAATGGATCTGTGTGTGTTTTTTTCTTTTTTTGTATAGCGAGATAAATGCCTCGATGCATCCCAGACTAGGTCTTTTGTCTGGGTATGTCGGACTCAATACCTCCCGGGTATAATACTTCGTGGGGGGAGGATCTAGAATGTTATCATTCTTACGCTGATTTTGTACTTATCTTTTATATTTGATGTGTGTGTGTATATATGTATGTATAAATACAATTTTTTGTCCACGTTTTCGGGCGCAAGGATCAAACGATTCAAATGGTTCAAAAAGCATTCGATCCCTATTGATAGGGAGATGTTCGGTTTAGTTTTTGGCAAAGGCAGGTCCAGCCGTTACGGAAATACGGAGCAACGAATGCAGAAAATAGAAATCGAGTTTTTGAGAGAACGGAGCATTCGATTTGAATGATTCTTAAAACATTTTGCTTATATTGACGAAATGAAGAATCGATTAATTTTTTGGAAAGGCAGGTCTAGCGGTTTTGGAGATATAGAGGAAAAAGTAAAAAAAAAGCCATTTTGCGGTCAAAAATGATCATTAGACATATGTTTATTAAATTATCAGATATTTTAAAAATAAGTACTAATTTTGCTACTATTTTTTTGGGTTCCGTATTAACATTTTTAATTGTATAAATACAATTTTTTGTCCACGTTTTCGGGCGCAAGGATCAAACGATTCAAATGGTTCAAAAAGCATTCGATCCCTATTGATAGGGAGATGTTCGGTTTAGTTTTTGGCAAAGGCAGGTCCAGCCGTTACGGAAATACAGAGCAACGAATGCAGAAAATAGAAATCGAGTTTTTGAGAGAACGGAGCATCCGATATAAATGATTCAAATAACATTTTATTAGTATTGAGTGATTCAAAAAACATTTTGTATATATGGACGAAATGAAGAATCGATTAATTTTTTGGAAAGACGGTTTTGGAGATATAAAGGAAAAAGTAAAAAAAAATGCCATTTTGCGGTCAAAAATGATCATTAGACATATGTTTATTAAATTATCATATATTTTAAAAATAAGTGCTAGTTTTGTTGCTATTTTTTTTGGGTTCCGTATCAACATTTTTTAATTTTTATAGTTTACTTGTACGGTTTCAACAAATAACAAAATTTTAGAAAAATATACAAAGTTTTATACTTTATATATTACAATTTACAATTTATTTTTAAAATGGATATGTAATTCATATGCGTTATTCTAAACGTAAGATACGTGGTTATTGTGATCGTAGGAAATTTATCCTCAGATGGATTCATTCGGCATCTCTTGTTAATGTAAACATTCTTAAGCGTTTTGTGCGATAAGACCGTCACTGTATAATAGGTTGTCAAATATCTTCCTTCCGCCTTTTTGTATTATAAACCAAGAGCAAAAAAGCGGAAGGGAGATATTTGACAACCTAATATTTTATGAACGATAAAATATATAATAATTATAATTATCTATTTAAAAATATTTACAATTGTTATTAATCATTGATCAATATTTATTGTTACTGATTTTTTTCCCTCGAATATTTAATTGTGGTACGGGAAGTTCCAGCAATTTGAATTAAGGCACGATGCCATACACCACTAGTTCTATTTATATATTAGGCTTGTTATATATAAGATATAAATGGGTGTAAACTTATATACCGGCATGTATATAAACCAAAATTATCTGGTATGTAAATTTTTTTCGCGACTCAATTCGAAATTATTACGATGACTCCGAAATATCCTTCAAGTGAACTATATAATATAAATTTAAATCCTTAACTATAATATAAATTTAAACACCTGATTCTGGCTTACAACTGACTAATGTTATGGCAAGGCCATGTTACGCTCCAACTTCCATACATAATGCTACTGAATCATACTGAATACTGTCAAAATGTCATATATTTGCTGTGCATTCAGGCGTATTACACATAAACTGCAACGTCACTCGTATGTTATGAAGCTGAGTCAGAAAGCTGACATTATAATTTTAAAATTTAAATTAATTTTTAGGAGCGCATGGGAAATTTAGATGATACAGCATCCAGAGAAATGATGTTGGATGCTTTGATTTTACGATTCAGTCTTGTCGGAGGATTGTTCGACACCATACAAAAGAATTCGACATCGACAACCGATTGGGCACTACTACTTGTCCAACTAATCTGCTCGTCTGTGATCGATTTGAATAACAACTCGTAAGTTTTAGAAACAATTTTATAAAAAATTCTCATTGACAAACAATTACATTTAACATTTTTTTCCACAGAGAGTTATTTACTACAGTTATTGACATGCTGGCGACACTCATACATTCTACATTGGTCTCTGACAATTATTCAGATAGGGACGAAAAGAAGTTTTACCAAAACTTGATGAAAAAATTGAAGAAAGAAGTCGGTGATCGAAATAATCCATCGATTCAGCACGTCAGACAGTTGTTGCAATTACCTAAATTAACCTGCGAGGTAAAAATATATTTTTAATTTAATTTCAAATTGTGTCGGAGAACAAATGCGCTTAACTCTGTATTAGTGTTATCCGCATATCACAGATGGCGCTAGTGTGCTTCAAATTTTAAAACACAGTCTCTAGATATAATACACGTACTTTAAACATTCAAGTACCGATTTTACATATTAAAACATATCTTGTTTGAATGAAAAAAATGTTATATATTTTTACAACATATTAGTGATTTTGTTGAAAATCATATTTTATACGCGTATATCTTGTTCTCATTTCATTTAGTCAAATTAATCAAGTCCATATTGTCTATATTATATATTTATATAAATCTTATCCTAGAATTGAACTTAAGGGTGAATTTACGCACTACGGTGGTTGGTGGCGACATCTATGAATAAAATTGATTGATTTCAAAGCGGTCGCGTTTGCCATCTATTCTTGTTTATTTATTTATGATATACACCTAGTTTTTTTATTATAGGTGATTGCTTGTGAGCCTGTCGGAGTGCTGTTGGACACCAAGGGAAACAAAATTAGTTTTGATAAAAAACAGGTAAGGTGATAAATTTTTTATTGGTCTTATGTGTTTTACTCCGTTTTAGTTCATTCCGCACTCAACAGAAGGTCTGCTGTGCCCAAAATGATTACTCTTCTAGAAGAACTGGTTCTCTTACTATAATATACATACAAACTTCAAACGCTTAATATATTTTCATTATGCTGAAATTATATTTTATATGCATATATTTTGTTTTCTAAATTAATCAGAGGTTTATCTTTTCTGTATCATTTATTTGTATAAATCTTATCCAGTAAGTGTAATTTTTTTTACTGTTTAAACGACATATATGTTGTTTTCATAGGCCTATAATATTTTTCAACTTTTCACAGGCCTATAACATTTTACTAATCTTTTTGTTATTGAATTTTCATAAATTGTGATTTTTTACAAACATATTTTTAACTAGTAATTTTGGATTTTATTATTTTTTCTCAAGCCTATAATATTTTACTAAATTTTTTATTATTAAATTTTCAAAATTTGTGAACTTTTGTGAATACAATTATTAACTAGCGCACTGTTTAATTTCAAATATTTTATTTGATTTCATAGGCCTGTAATATTTTACAATTTTTCTTAAGCCTATAATATTTTAAAACTTTTCACAGGCCTATAATATTTTACTATGTTTTTTATCATCGAATTTTTATAATTTGTGATTTTTACAAACACATTTATTAACTAGTGCGTAGCCTAATTTTGAATTTTATTACTTTTTCTTATGCCTATAATATTTTACAACTTTTTACAGGCCTATAATATTTTACTATTTTTTGTTATTGAATTTTTATAAATTATGATTTTTTTACGAAAAAAATTATTAACTAGTGCGCAGCCTAATTTTGAATTTTATTATTTTTCCTTAGGCCTATAATATTTTACAGTTTTATATTGACATTTTAAAATCTGTAATTTTTTGTGAAAACATTAGTTAACTACTAGCGCGCAGACATATCTTATTATTTTCTTAGTCCTATAATATTTTACAGCTTTTCCTAGGCCTATAATATTTAACTAATTGTAAGCTTTTTGTCATGGAGTTTTCATAATTTGTGAATTTTTGTAAACACAATTATTAACTAGTGCGCAGCCCAATTTTGTACTATTTTGTTGTTTTTTATAGATATTGAGTATTTCACAACTTTCCTTAGGCCTATAATATTCTACTAAGTTTTTATTACAGATTTTTCAAAATCTGCGAATTTTTGTAAACACAATTATTAACTAGTACGCAGCCCAATTTTGTTACATTTTGTTGTTTTTTTAATAGAATTTTGGTATAACTTTCCTTAGGACTATAATATTTTACTACGTTTTTTATTATTGTAATTTTAAAATCTGTAATCTTTTGCGAAAACATTTATTTAGCTCGCAGCTCAATTTTGTAATATTTTGTTGTTTTCTTTATAGATATCTAGTATTTTACAGCTTTCCTTAGGCCTATAATATGTGATGAGGTTTATTTTCAACCTCAAATCTAGAATTGAATTTTCAAAATTCATTCAGGATTTCTTTGTGAAAACGTTACATAACTACTAGCATGCAGACATATTTTTATATATTTTATTTTATTTCATAGGCCTATAATATTTTACAAATTTTTATAGGCCTATAGTATTTTACAAATTTTCATAGGCCTATATTTTTCAAAAATTCATAGGCCTATATTTTACAAATTTTTATAGGCCTATAATATTTTACAATTTTCCTTAGAACATCAAATCTGTTAATAATAGATTCTCTAGATTTATTTAGAACTATTTTGGGAAAATATTATTATTTTCATATGCCTTTAATATTTTAGGAGGTTTTTTGTTTTTCTATTTTTTGCAATAAATATTTGAAAATGTATGAGGTTCACCTGTTCTATATTATATATTTATATACATAAATTTTATCTAGTATCAAACCGAGTGGTAAATTTACGTGCTACAGTTAGTGGCGCACTCTATGGAGTGGAAAAACAACTAAAATTGAAGTAAATGCGACGTGTTTGCGATCTATTTATACTTAATATATATATATATATATATATATATATATATATATATATATATATATATATTATTATTATTTATTCCCAGGGTCTGAGGTTATCTGATAAACAGCGAATAAGTGCCTGGGACTTGCTCGAAGGGCACAAAAATCCTGCACCCTTATCATGGGCCTGGTTTGGGGCTGTGAAAATGGAAAGAAAACCATTGAGGTACGAAGAAGCTCATAGGTTATTGAAATATCATACTCATGGTCTGCAGAAGCCTCCTTCACATTATTTGGATCCTTTGCCATTGCCTCCGGAGGATCTGGAACCTGTACCTGAGAAAACTGTGAGTAATATCAAATTTTTGTTGTAATTTTTTTATTTATGATCAAAATAAGCAAATGCAATGTTATTCTCAAAATTTTGATTCACTTGTCGCTGATTTATAAAATAAATGGAATTGTACCCATGTTTTGTCCATGAGAATCTTTAGTTGGAGTGCGGGCTATCTTAAAGTTAATATTAAGAGCTAAAACTTTTAGAGATTTTTTTTTTATTAATTTGGAAGCGTTTGAGCCCTTGGGAGCAAGGAAATTCGACAATGTCCATATTAAGGACCACCGTAATATATACATACGCACACATCAAAAGGACGGTCGGTTTTTTTTTCGTGAAAAGTGATCTAAAAGAGCAGGTTTTTTATTGGGGATTTTAAAAGTTTAATTGATGTAATATGTGTTTCTGATAACATTTTCTTTTTATTATTATTTATTTTTGTTTAAAATTAACAATAAATATTATAATACCGATGACCGCTTTGATGATTTTTGGACTACCTTTTTGCTCTATGTATAAACTATTGTGTTATAATATGATAAATAATACGAAATTTTTATTTAACAACTTTTAAATTTTAATAATATCTATTTATCTAAAAATAATATAACAAATTTGTAAACAAATAAGAAAATTCAACAATATATAATTATTTAGAGCAAATGTACGTGTAAAAACTCTAAAAGTTAAAAACAAAATAGATGGATTCTTAAATGTTCATAATTTATTAATGTGTTCTGCGAGCATAGTTTTGAATTTGTTTGGAATTTTATAAATCTTGTTGAATATTTTTGGATTTTTTTTGTTTTGCACAAAACGTTTTATTACATTTGATAAACCAAATTTTTAATGCATTTGATGTTGAAATAAATTCTAGTTCCAGTAAAAATTTTATTAATAATTGTCTTAATGCAATTAATGTTAATTAAATATGAATTATGAATGACAACTTGTATAACAATTTAAATAGTTTTTGAGATGAAGTCTCTTTTTCCCTCTACTTTCAAATATTGCTGTCAAACAATGCTTAACTTTACTGGTTTTTGACACATCGGTGGTGAACATTTTCAACCCCGGACCTTCATATATTACTATCTATTTTTCGATAAATTCTGGAAAATTATAACTGGGAAAATGTTATTCGACAAAATGTCCCTTTGATCGATACCAAATTTTGGTTCTGAATTTAAATAAAATAAATAAAAAATAATATAACCTAGAAAATGTTTTATAAATACCAATGAGTATATAATTATACAAATGAGATCTTTCAGAGCACCGTGTTTGAGAAAAATATGCCAAAAAGTGCATTTTTATATTAACATTTCAGAAAAAATTGATATTTTGGGTAACACTTGCATCCCTATTGCATGATTTTACTGAATTGCAAATTTATAGCTGTTTTTGTAAGAAACATATAAAATATTATATTTTTATAATTTGGTACACATATTAAGAAATAACATACAAACATTTTGTAACTTTAGCATAGCGTTTTATATTGTTAAATATTTTTCAAAATACTCATCAAACCGTGGACTTGCAACTATTGCAAGAGTTCATTTGTTTACAAAATTGCACATTTATAGCTTGTTTTTATTAGAAATATATGTGATTTTATATTTTTATAATTGAGTACATATATTAGGTAATAACATACTAAAATTTCATAGCTCTAGAATAATATTTTATATTTTTAAAACATTTTTCAAAAGTACTTCTCATATCATATCCAACCGCCGATTCGCAACTAATAAAAATAGAGTATGCAAGTGTGCATTGCAATTTTTTAGTTTCTTCTGTTAAAAACATATTTGATTTCATATTTTTAAAATTCAGTACACATATTAAGAAATAACATACTATAATTTCATAACTGTATTACAACGCTTTATATTTTTAAAATATATTTTTAACCCGTCAATTTGTTTACGTCAGAACGTTTACTAACGTTTTTGTATATAAATAAAACTACAAACAAAACTACTTACTACAATTTAATCATTAAATAATATTCACATAAAACATACTATTAAAAGTAATTGAACATCATGGGTCAAAAACATTTGACATTTGACGTATTAGCCACTGTCCAATGTTTTATTTAAATTACGCTTCTACAAAAATGTTCAAATTAAAAATGTAAAGTTTCTGCGCGGATTTGAAATAATTTCTCACCTTTTGAACTTTCTCTGGATTGGCACGAATTTTTCAAGACTAAGACTGGCCAAATCGGTTTAGCCGTTTTCGAATTTAGCGGATCATTTGATCGAGAGCTCCATTTTTATATATGAGATAAATATTATATCTGAAAAATAACTTCACATACATTTTGACGAATTAATGAGGCAATTCTGCCGTAACAGAGCTCATAAAATAGAGTTGTCATGGCAAACGCTTGTTCTTGGTAGTGAAAATTATGAAAATGTCTATGTTAAAGTTAATATTAAGAGTTAAAACTTTCAGATAGTATTTTTTTTATTAATTTGGAAGCAAGAAAATTCGAAAACATCCATATTAAGGACCACCCTAATCGACAAACATAATGTTCTTTTTGTTACGTAGTTATAGAATTTATTAAAACTCTCCTTCGATAATTCAGGATGTTGGGTTATAATTTAACCCTTGTAGCTGTGGACTGTATTAAACACTGATTTGTTTTGTATATTATGTATTTGTTGCAGTTCTAATTACAATCACTGATTTGTCACTAAGTTATAATGAAAGAAGATATATTTATTTTTATTTGGTTATTTACATGTTGTTAAGCGGACTTTACTTATTTGAAGTGAACAACTAGTTCAATTAAAACACTCTATGCTACCAGGGCTAGCAACCATTTTGCATAAAGCTTTATGCCCTGAAGTTTGTCACCTTCATGGCCAATATAATAAAACGAAAAGTCGTCCGAACACATAAATTATCAGATCTACAATTTTTTTGTAACATTTTCGATTTGACCGGCATAATCCATATTAAGGACCAACCTATTGCCCATGGGACATTTCCGATAAATGTAAAATTGGGTTTATAATGAAACTCTTGTTGATTTATTTGTTTCACTAATTTATTTACTTATGATTTAGTTATACATAATTTAGCTTATTTTGTTTTAAATTTAACTGGTTTCGCGAGTTACGCGGGTACTTTATTATGTCCTTTCTTATTGACGCTTAAACTTGTACTGAAAATAATACCTAATATTTTTTTGAGTAAATGTGTTTTATTGCCATGTATGAAGCGAACAGCTTTGTGCTTGTGCGTTGTTGCATTTTTTGTACATTGCGCCTAAATTTTATTTCCACAATTCTCTCTCTATTATCAAACAAATCTTATCATTTCCCTTACACATTTTATCCCCGGACAATTCATCTATTCCCCAAATTAACAAAAGACTTGTCTTTGTGTTTCCTGCAACCTGCGCCAGTCTCGGCCTGCCGACTGCTGCGGAGACATGAAATCAGATACGCCTTCGTCCTCATCGATCGACCAATCGCCTCATCCTGCACACATGATGATGCCTGGAGGACATATGCCTGTAGGAGCGATGCCTGGTGGACCTATTAATGCTGGGCCTATGCCTGGGATGATGATGCCAGGGAATCCTATGATGGGTAAGATAATAGTAATAATATACACCTAAGTCTGTTTTTACACGGTAGATTGGTTCCAGAAGAAGCCGTGTAAAAAAAAAAAACGTGTAAAAAAAGACATTGATCTTATAAAAAAATGGGTGATTTGTTCCTAATCTCTAAAACCTATTAAAATTAGTGAAAAACAAGAATTTTTAAGAACAAGAATTCATGTTTATTTTAATAATAATTCCCCTAAATTAGTGCTATTCACATTTGCTTTGACCAGTAAAAATTGTTTGTACGCGCTAAAGGGGAATTCACTTAAATCTTTAAGCCAGTGTTCGCAAACTATCGATACTATCGATGGTTTCAGACTTTTTACTTTCATAAATACTTTTTTTGTAATATGAACATACTTCGCAAAAATTAAATTTGACAAAAAAAATTTAAGTACATAAAATTTCAAATCGTGCTAAATGGAATAAAATCTTGTAAAAAAATTAAAAATATTCAATTTTCAAACCGTGTTATATCAAAACCGTGTACAAAAAGACCGTGTAAAAACAGACTTAGGTGTATTTAGATCTTGTAAAAGTACCGGTATTTTTATTATCTTAAACAAAATTGAATATTACTAGAACAAATTAAAAAAGAGTGCGCGTAAGGTTCACACGCGATTGAAGTAAAACTTTTTTGCTACTGTACAAGATGGCATTTAAGTAAGAATAAATATATCGTATAACAATTTTGAATAGTGTTTATAAGTAATATGGTAACACTCGTGATGCTTTGACACATTTATTAGTGTCAACTAGCGAATGCAATACCGATGGAAAATTTCAATACCGGTATTTCGGTAATTTTTCATTTTAAAACCGGAATACCAGTAAATTACCGGCATTTTTATTATCTTAAACGAACGTAAAGAAAATTGAAAGTTACTAGTACAAATATAAAAAAAATGTATATACAACTACAGCTATATTCAACTAAACAATAAAATAAAACAATAAGTTTATTTTTTTAAAAAATAATTTAGCAAAAGTATATGAAATTTAATTAATTCATAATCACTATCGAGTATATTGAGTACTTTTCACCAAAAACAAACTTAAGAGTAAGAAAGGCCAAAAACTCATAAAAGATTACATTACATTATTATAATAAACTGTATTGTCTGTATCCGATGTGTTAAATTAGCATAATCTCCAATATTTTAAAAAAATATTTTTTCTACACTAATTTAAGATCGGATACTTTGTCGAGATAAATAATAAGATACTATAGTTGTTGAGTATTGTTATTTAAAACAATGTGATGCTTCTATAGTATTTTCAAACTTCGAAACGTTTTCGAAAAATAATATTTTATAATTGTAATAAGAAGCAAAAATATTCAGTAATTATCATAATTATTATGTATAAAGTTAGAAAAAATAAAGATTACGCAGGAATTCTGTATGATATAAAATATTTTGGCGCAAAAACCACTTAAAAAAACGTTACATTTTTACAAAAGATGAAACAAACATCATTATCTATCAGTCCAATTCTATTTATTGTAACACGATAAATAAAATTGGAAAGCAATGGAAATCAATGGAAAGCAATAAATATTCAGTTTAATGACGAGTTGAGATAATATTCGACATTTGTTTATCCTATAGAATCATTTGAAGATGTAGCTGTTTATGCGATTATGAAATTTAAAGATAAATTTGTTCCGAGAAATTCAAACTTTAGGGTATTATGTATCAAATAGCGTTTATGTAAAATACCGAAAATACCGGTGTTTTTTAATAAATACCGGTAAAAATACCTCCGAAAAATCGGGCGGTTTACCGGTAATTCGGTAAACCGGTATACCGGTATTTGCATTCCCTAGTGTCAACCATTATACACATTTATATGATGATAAATTATAAATTATATATTTATGATAGCATTAAAAATATGTACTATATTTAAAAACAATAATGTAATTAAAGTCATAGTTCTAATATGACATGATCGGTTTGTCATTGTAATTAGCATTTACGACTTAAACATTCATTAGAGAAATGAATTAATTGCTGATTAATAAATTCTATAATATTCATTCACACAGTGGATTATGTTAAACAACGCCTAAACAAATATTGTTTTCACAATTTCACTCATCATGTAATAATTGTGTTTGAAGAACTTCATGTAATTAAAATTAACATACATTCATTGACTGCTTGTATTTTTTTTTTACTTTTTCGCTGGCGATACAGTCTCATTCTTTGAATAGCTGTAATATTTGTCTTGTCTAGAAAATATTTTCCATTTCAGTAACTTCAAAGATTTATAAAAACTACGAATAAGATAGAAATAATTTCCAATCAATAAACTTACGTTTAGTACACGGCACAAATGTCTAATTTGTTTTATTATTTTCAAGGAACAGGGTATAAATATTCTTCTGATTCAGGCATTTTTCATTAAATCAAGATTTGTACTACGATGTAACTTTGAAATGTTTATTTATCTATGTCGATTTCCATGTTGATATCGGTACGCACGATCTCTATTTACATACAGGACGACTAATCACGATTGACCCTTATAGAAATGATATCATTGAAAGCGAATGACGAATCATTGGCACCCGACTCGCCCGTAACGCTTTTTTCGTTGTATTTGCATAGATTTACTCCCTAGTGCGCCTAAAGAAGTTTTTCTTCAAAAATTTTTTTTAGATTGATCAATTTTTTTATCAGAATTACGGGCTTTTGTTCGATTTAAACCTATGATGTTATATTATTTCTTATATTTTTCATGTATGTTTTTATGGCTTTTGAGCATAGTATAAAATTCTGTTCAATTTACTTCATATTTGAAAAAAAGTATGTAATTGCAAGGATTCAATTTAAACCTATATTTTTTAGAAAATCTGAATCCGGGACAAATTTTGCTTTCAGAAAAAACCGGGACTTACTTACTCTTACTTAATTACAAAGAAACGGCTCGGCCGATCGTCGTACAAAACTGAGAAACGATAGTCCTTATCAAAATACATCGAATGGCTTTTAAATTTTTGAAATCGGCTCAGGCGCCGATCAAAGGTCTAATTTTGATAAACGCCAAAAAACAATACTAATATTTGCAAACTTGACGATTCTTTAAAATTAAACGACTTGTCGTAGGGTCGTAATATTTTAGTATGATCTATAAGACTATGGTATCTATCGTCAAAATAAAATTCATGAAAATTGTCGAAAATTTTTTTTTTAACACTTTATTGCAAGAAAACGACCCGACCGATCTCTACCAAAAACTAATCAGCACGATTCCCAACCAATATCTTTCGAATGGTTTTTGAATTTTCAAAATCGGTTCAGAATTGCGGACTAAAACGTGGACGAAAAATTTTTCACTTTTCTGCGATTTATAAAGAAACGGCTTGGCCGATCGTCGCACAAAACTGACAAACAATAGTTCTCGTCGAGATACATCGAATGGCTTTTAAATTTTTGAAATCGACCCAGCCGTTTTTGAGAAAACGGCGATTTACGGCGAAAAATATGTTCACACACATACACACACACATTCTTTTAGTCCAAATTTGGTCTCATTCGATTCAGAATGGCTTGAAACGTCGAGAAAACATAAAATTAGCCAATCGGATTTTTTGATGAAAACATAAACTTCTCCTTCGGGAAGTTAAAGATTTTTATCGTCTAAGTGGTTTACTTACACATGCCTTAAGGCAACATGCCACTTACATCTAGTTGTGTTGAATTTGATGATATAATTCCGAGAATTACTTTAATCAATTGTATATTATTGCAAAGGATTTAAAAAAAACAATTGATACTAATCAAATTTTCAAACAAAATTCGAAAAATTTCAATCGAAAAAGCAAAATCGTTCGGAGCCATTTTTTACAATCTAAATTTTTGTTACAATTTTACAATCTGTTATGTAACCGTACTTTAACAACCCTTTTTTTTCAAATGATTTCTTTCCCTAAATTTCCTGTATCCATTACCCAGGTAACCCTAACATGATGATGATGGGCGTCGGAGGCGGCGTCGGCGTCGGCGGCATGGTTGGAGGAGTCGTCGGAGGCGTAGGGCCAGGAATCGTCCCCGGCCCTGTGGCGCCGGCCGTGGGCAGGGGCCGAGGCAAAGGCACCCGAAGGCCCCGAAAAAACAAGGCCAATCAGCAGAATCAGCAGCAACAGGTCGGTGTGCAGGGCGGCCAGGCTGTCGGAGGACATATGGCTGGCGGCGGAGTTGGACAGCCGCAGCCTAATGCTAACATGATGCAGATGCAGGTAATAATAGACACTGAAATTAGGGTTTATACAAAAACCTTATGACATTTCAGAAAACCGGTTTTCGAATTTTGATTTTACCAGAAAACCGGTTTTAACCGGTTTTCGAATTTTATATAGAAATTAAATTTTTGCTCGAATAACACGCACACACACACATCCATTTTTTCTGAGGTATGCCAAAATGTTCAGAAACCTTCAAAACGACGAGAAATGTAAAAAATTTCAATTTCGATTTTCGGCCCATTACAATAACTTACCCTACGGGAAGTTAATTAGGTACATGTGCTTGACTTGGCGACCTGTGGGTAGGAGTGTCGGTGGCAATTGTAAACTAGTGGTGTATGGCATCGTCCCTTAAGGCAAATTGCTGGAACTTTCCGTACCGTTATGAAATATTCGAGAAATTTTAAACGTTTTCAAACATATATTATTACAAATACTGTGTAACTTTCATTATTTTTGCTATCTTATTGTTAAATCTGAGTGAGCAAATCAAATGCAAATCATAAATCAATTATTACATTAACAATCGTCATGTCATTTCGAATTCAATTTCAAAAAAATAGTTGCGTCAAATTTACACAAAATTGAAAAAGTGCTCCCGCATAGTCACAGTCTAAACGCATTTGCAAATAATTCCGTGCGACATTTTCACTTATACTGTGCTTATCTTGGCGGCATTTTAACATTTTTCAATAGTTTTTTCACAAAATAGGAAAAGTGCTCAAGAGTCTAAACGCACTTGCGAACAAACACATTAGTATCAGGGTGTCACTTAGAATGTGATTTGTATAGGTAATTTTTTGATATTTTGAACCCGAAAATTACATTTTCATAATTTACATGAAATTGAAAAAACGATCCCGTATAGTCACAGTCTAAACGCACTTGCTAATATATTTGTACCAGGTTGTCACTTAGACTGTGCTTAGTCTGGGTGTTTTTTTTAAATTTTGAACTCAAAATTACTGTTCAATGATTTATTTATATTCAATTATATTCAAAACAAAAATTTTTGGAAATGAAAAAAAAATGAAATTTATAATAACTAGTGGTGCATGGCATTGTGCCTTAAGGCAAATTGCTGGAACTTTCTGTACCGTAACGAAATATTCGAGAAATTTTAACGTTTTCAAATATATTATTACAAATACTGTAACTTTCATTATTTTTCTTCTTTTATTAACTCTACTGACAGGCTAAATGTAAAAAACACGAAAGAGAACTCTACTGACGTGCAAACAAAACAAAATTCAACTAAGTAGGTAAATAAAAACAATATAGTGTCCACCAAACTGAAATGACTAAAAAAATGAACTGTACTGATTAGGGTTAATACAAAAACCGACATTTCGGAAAACCGGTTTTCGAATTTTAATTTTACCAGAAAACCGGTTTTAACCAGATTTCGAATTTTATATAGAAAATCAATTTTTGCTCGAATATTCTGTAATTTATCTGCAAATTTAGTGTGATTTAGAGCAGTATTTGACTGAATTTATTTATTGTGCAATTTTATGGATAGTAAACAAAATTATTTTAATTTTAATTAGTAGAACTAAAATATGATAGTTTATCTTGATTAAATAACTTTGAAAATAATTATTCGTTATTCATGCATTATTTTCACATATAAGAATGAAAATATTTTTATGTTAGTGAAAGGAAAGTTTTTGAATATATAAAAATAATACATTTTTAAATAAAAAACATTGCTTAGTTTAAAAACAATACAAAAATATTAACTAGTGGGGTGGGTGGCATCGTGCCTTAAGGCAAATTGCTGGAACTTCCCGTACCGTAACGAAATGTTCGAAGAATACTGAATGTTTTCAAATAGATTATTATAAATATTGTAACATTGTCTAATATTTATAAGAATTATATGAACTGAATTGCAGAGTTGAAATTATTTGTTTAAAGTATATTAGAACTATAGTCAGAATTAAAAATAAAATCTGAATTATTTTCGATATACAAAAAATTAAAAAAAAAAAAAAAAAATTGTACAATTTTTTTTTTTCCAAAATCATTACTTTGTTAACACAAGCAGAAAGTTTTTAGATCATTCAAATCGGACGCTTAGTTCTCTCAAAAACTGCCATTTTTTGCACATTTAGCTCTGTATCTTCGAAATGGCTGGACCTGCCTTTACCAAAAACTAATCACCTCTTCTCCCAATCATTAAAAATTGAATGTTTTTTAGATCATTCAAATCCGATACTCCGTTCTCTCAAAAACTCGATTTGTATTTTCTGCACTCTTTGCTCCGTATCTCCGTAACGGCTGGACCTGCCTTTGCCAAAAACTAATCGGCACATCTCCCTATCAATAGGAATCGAATGTTTTTTGAACCATTCAAATCGGTTGATCCGTGCGCCCGAAAACGTGGACGAAAAAATGAGGACATACAAAACATTTGCTCGTCAGTAGAGTCCCTTTTCTTATTTTTCTGAATTTGCTCGTCAGTGGAGCTTCTTTTTTTATTTTTAGTTTGGTCGTCAGTAGGGTCCCTTTTCTATTTTTTTCTGAATTTGCTCTTCAGTAGAGTCCTTTTTGAGTTTGCTCGTCAGAGTTTTTTTTTCTATTTTTCTTGAGTTTGCTAATCAGTAGTCCTTTTGCGCCTGATTTTTTCGAATTTGCTTGTCAGTAGAGTCCCTTTTGTCTTTTATTTTCAGTTTGCTTGTCAGTAGAGTCCCTTTTGTCTTTTATTTTCAGTTTGCTCATCAGTAGAGTCTTTTTTGTTTTTTATTTTTAATTTCTTATTTTCTTATTTTCTCTGAATTTGCTTTTCAGGACTCTACCTTTTGCTCTAAATTTTTCTGAGTTGCTCGTCAATAGAGTCCTTTTGCTCCAATTTTTCTTTCTGCTTGTCAGTAGAGTTCTTAATCTGCCAATGGGAGAAATCTAAGTCTTAAAATATTATAGGCCTGTGAAAAAGTGATTTTAGTGTTTATAAAAACACACACACACCCACACATCTATTTAGTTTCTGAGGTATGCCCTTTAAAAATGTTCAGAAACCTTCAAAACGTTGAGAAATGCAAAAATTTTTATTTTCGATTTTCGGCCCATTACTATAACTACCCTACGGGAAGTTAATTTTTGTTGGACACAGTAGCTAATTTTTGGCAAATATCAATTCTTATCAAGTTAATTTACACCTGTTTTTTTTTATTACAGAATGCCCAATTGCAACAAATGCAGTACGCACAAGCCCAGCAAGGAATGGCTGGGCAACAGCAGTCCCATCAAGGATTTGGCCAGCAGGGACAAACCGGCCAGCAGCAATGGAGTTATCCCCAAACACCCATGGGCCAACAGTATGGCTATGGACCAACACCTCAAGGTAATAATCAATTAGATAAATGGGGAAATTCTGGCTCATAACATATGGCAATGCTATGTTATGATTGTTTATTGGTAGTGTAAACTGTCAAAATGTTTGTTTATTTGCTGTGCGATCAGGCGTATTTTACATATAAACAAGCAAGGAAGAATGTTATGATCACAAAATCTTCAATTATACAGTTATCATAAGATTCTTTCTTGCATGTTAACGTTTTCATCAAAAAAGTTTATGTTTTCATCAAAAAATCCGAATTGCTAATTTTATGTTTTCTCGACGTTTCAAGCCATTCTGAATCGAATGATACCAAATTTGGAAAAAGTATGTGTGTGTGTGTGTGTGTGTGTGTGTGTGTGCGTGTATGTGAACAGATTTTTTGCCGTAAATCGACGTTTTCTCGAAAACGGCTGGACCGATTTCAAAAATTTAAAAGCCACTCGATGTATCTCGATGAGGACTATTGTTTGTCAATTTTGTGCGACGATCGGCCAAGCCGTTTCTTTATAAATCGCAAAAAAGTGAAAAAAAATTCGTCTACGTTTTAGCCCGCAATTCTAAACCGATTATGAAAATTCAATAACCGTTCGAAAGATATTTATTGGGAATCGTGCTGATTAGTTTTTGGTAAAGACGGCCGGGCCGTTTTCTTGTAATAAAGTTTTTAAAAAAAAAAATTTCTACGATTTTTATGATTATTTTTTTGACGGTAGATACCATAGTCTTCTATATCATACTAAAATATTACGGCCCTACGACAACAGGTTCAGCTTTAAAAATTTGTCAAAGTTTGCAAAAATTGGTATCGTTTTTTTGGCATTTGTCAAAATTATACCTTTGATCGACGTTTTCTCAAAAACGCCTGAGCCGATTTTAGAAATGTAAAAGCTATTTGATGTATTTCGGTGAGGACTATCGTTTGTCAGTTTTGTGTGACGATCTGTCAAGCCGTTTCTTTGCAATTTAAAAAAAAGTGTTAAACTTTTTGTCCACATTTAAGCTTATCCTACCGAACCGATTTTAAAAAATCAAAAACTGTTCGAAAGATATTAGTTGGGAATGGTACTGATTAATTTTAGATGAAAATCTACCGAGCCGTTTTCTTGTAATTAAATGTTGAAAAAAAATTTAAGCCTTTTTTCATGGAACTTCTTTTGGCGATATACATCATGGTCTTATAGAACTTACTGTAATATTGCGGCCTTACGACAAGTAGTTTAATTTTAAAAATTTGTCAAACTTTGCTAAAATTATTATCGTTTTTTTTTTAAAGTAGGATTGATGAAGTATATTATTTACACTTTTTTTTTTGATTAAGTCGATTATTTACACATATCAGGAAGTTCATGTAACTTGCCTCAAGGCTAAATACCAAACCAACTAGTTTATATATAAAATACGCCTGATCGCACAGCAAATAGATAAATTTTCCACAGTTTTAGGCAAAATTACCCCAAAAAAATTCATTGTATCACAAAGTCTTCAATTTCTTGATTTATTTATCAGTTAACCGATTTGAAAGACCCCAAGCCAGCAACTCAAAACAAGCCATAAGCAATATGTTAAGACAAAGGCATCCTATGAACCAGTTTATGCCGAGTGGTGCAGGTGCTGGCAGTCCTGCTGTTGGTGCTGGAGGTCCTGGTGGTCAATATCCAGCAGCTATGGGGCCAAGACAGCATATGATCCGACAGCAATTACGAGCAGGTAATAAATTAATATAGTTTAACAAAATTTGCCTAGAAAATTTGATAAAAGATATTTTTGAGGCTGACTTGATTCTGAACAAGTCCTAACTTACTAGATTTTAACCAGATTCTAAAAGGATTTTTGAATGAGTCTTACTTTAATCTTACTTCTAAAATTTAATTTAAATTAATTACAGAATGAAGTTTTTTTTTATTATTGCTAGAATGTAATTGGATTCTTATTTAAATCTCGTTCTTACTTAAATCTCATAATAAGAATGTCAGAATTTTAATAGATTCTTACCAGAATGGGTTCTTATCAGGGTCTCATTAGGTTCTTGCCAAATCTTATGGGATTAACTTTGTAATTTATAACAGATCCTAAATAAATTTTTGAATGAATCTAACTTCAATCCACTTAGATTATTATAGATAAATTACATGGTTAATTTGAGTATTTGCTACAAAGAGTTTAAATCTTACATATTTAGAAAAGAAAATCAATAAATATTAACATTGTAATATGTTCTGTATTAAAATATTACATTTTTAGTGCAATCTAATTAGTTTTTTGTGAAAATCGTTTTCTACTCGCCGAGACCTTTCAAACGATACCCCACAAGCGATACAAGATACATTCTATAATTTATTGAAGTAAAACTTCATTAAGCTTGTTTACTACAAATTCAATAAAAGTGTATGTTTTGTGAACAAATCACATAGTTAAATTCAGTAAAACAAAAGTTTTACACTTAAAAAAAATCAATCAATAAAATTTAATATTCTAATATTTTTAACAATAAAATATGATTATGTTTATAATGTTTTTAGTACAATGAAATAAGTTTTTCGTTAAAATCGTTTTCTACTCGTCGAGACCTTTTAAACGATACCCCACAAGCGATACAAGATATTATTAAAATTTTTGAAGTAAAACTTCTTTAAACTCGTTTAATACAAATTCATTAAAAATGCATAGTTTTTGTACAAAACTCATATTTACTTTACATATTTAATAAAAAGCAATCCAATTAAATATTCTAATATTTTCTGCAATAAAAAATGATAACATAATCATAATGTTTATAAACGTGATATAATGTTTTGATTACGATATGATATTTTTTTGTATAAATCGTATTCTACTCGTCGAGGCCTTTCAAACGATACCCAACATGCCTAAAAACACATATATTTTTTTTGAAGTAAAACTTCTTTAAGCTCGTTTACTACAAATTTATTAAAAGTGTATATTTTGTGAATAAATCACATAGTTAATTGCAGTATACGGATTCTATTCAAAAAGATATTTCAAACGATACCCAACATGCCTAAAAACACATATAAATTTTTTTGAAGTAAAACTTCTTTAAGCTCGTTTACTACAAATTTATTAAAAGTGTATATTTTGTGAATAAATCACGTAGTTAATTGCAGTATTTGGATTCTATTCAAAAAGACTTTTCATACGATACCCAACATGTCAAAAAACCATGATTTTGTTTTTTTGAAGTAAAACTTCTTTAAGCTCGTTTACTACAAATTTATTAAAAGTGTGTATTTTGTGAATAAATCACATAGTTAATTGCAGTATTCGGATTCTATTCAAAAAGACCTTTCAAATCATACTCAACATGCCAAAAAAACACAATTTAATTTGTTTGAAGTAAAACTTCTTTAAGCTCATTTACTACAAATGCATTAAAAGTGTATATTATAAAGACATTTTATTTGTTACATAAACCTTGAATATTTTATTTAAATAATAGAATATTATTGGAATCTTCATAAATATTTCTCATCTGGATCTTATTAGGTTCTTATTGAATTATCAGGAATTATTTGATTATTTGATTTATGGACCGATTTTGGCGCATAACAGACCAATGACAGAATTTTCTGGCAAGGCTATGTTATGAAGAACTTTTCATACTAAATATTGTCAAAAACCATGCGGTTGCTGTGCCAAGCCGAGTGTCAAGTTGTCAAATAGAAAATCTAACCTAGAAACCGCACAAATGCCAAAAAACGATGTTAGATAACAGGGTCTTTCTGACCCAGCTTCATAACATACGAGTGACGTTGCAGTTTATGTGTAAAACGCCTGAATGCACAGCAAATACGTGACATTTCGACAGTATTCAGTATGATTCAGTAGCATAATGTATGCAAGTTGGAGCTTAACATGGCCTTGCCATAATATTTTTGTTAGATTCTTGCCAGAACTGTATCACATCATTGTAACATTACTAGATTTTCATTAGATTCTAACTGTTTACATATTAGATTTCTATTGGAATATTAGGTTGTCAAATATCTCCCTTCCGCTTTTTTGCTCTTGGTTTATAATACAAAAAGGCGGAAGGGAGATATTTGACAACCTTATATTTATAGATTCTTAGCAGATTCTCATCAGTATCTTATATCATTTTATCAAAATGCCACTTACACCTAGTTTTTATGTAAATTTTCTCTCTCTAGGTATGACACCAAACACGATGGGTATGAATGCAAGTCAAGGCATGATGGCAGGAAACCAGGCCATAAACTCGGGTATGAGTGCGAATCAAATGCCTGGACAAAACATGGGCCAGATGGGTGTGCAAGGAATGGGAAATGCTGGTATGCAGGGCCAAATGATGGGCCAAAACGCAAATATAGGCCAAGGGCTCAATCCTGGCATGTCTAATCAAAATATAAATAATCAAGGTAAGAAGTGTAATTGATTGAAAATGATTGATTGAAAATTATTATTTAACTAGCTGACCACCCGGCAAACGTTGGTTTTGCTAAATACAGTATATTCTAAACAATTTCTAGAGAATCAAAAATATTAATACTTTTAGTGTATAAGGATTAAGTGTTTGAATGCTTGATACAATGAGGTATTATAAAAACAATAAACCCCATTTAGTTTGTCTATATTTTGTCAATATAATTAAACTGGAAGTTTTATACACTTTCTATAGAAAACATGGTGTAATCCAATTCAAGTCTTTAATAAAAATTTCATAAAAAGTATATATGTAAGGCAGGGCGAGGCACAAAGGTCCAATTTGACTTTGAGCAAATATTAATTATATTATAAAAACCGAACCAATTTTATCACAACAAATAACACATTTTAACCGAACAATTATCTGACTACGTTCAGTAAAACTGTCAGCTACTTCATTATTGTAGAAATGTGCTTTTTTGATGTCTTTCAAAAATTTGTCATAAGCGCAATACATGACGTGGATGCTATAGCATTCACGATTTAAATATGATAATGTGACTACGGAAACTTTTAAAGGGCGCCAACTTTTTCCTTTTTCCATAGTTGCGTAAAATAGAAGCGCAATATTTGTCGTGGATGCTATAGCATTCATCTAGATTCTAGTATATAACGATCAAAATACGATAATACGACTACTCAAACTTTTATTGGGAGCAAACGTGTTAAAATGCTAAAACACTTTTCAGTTGAAACTCCATCTTTTTTCATAGTCACTAATTTGACGTCGTTGCTATAGCATTCATCTAGTATATAACAATCAAAATCCAATAATTTGATTACTCAAACTTTTATTGGGCGCGAACGTGTTAACGTGCAAGATTACTCTTCAGTTAAAACTGAATTTTTTTTCATAGACTCTAACTTAACGTGGATGCTATAGCATTCATCTAGTATATAACGGTCAAAATACGATAATACGACTACTAAAACTTTTATTGGGCGCGAACGTGTTAACGTGCAACATTACTCTTCAGTTAAAACTGAATTTTTTTCATAGTCTCTAACTTAACGTGAATGCTATAGCATTCATCTAGTTTATAACGATCAAAATACAATAATTCGATTCCTCAAACTTTTATTGGGCGCGAACGTGTTAAAATGCAAGATTATTTTTCAGTTGAAACTGCATCATTTTCCATAGTCACTAATTTGACGTGGATGCTATCTAGTCAATAATTTGACGTAGATGCTATAGCATTCATCTAGTAAAACCATTAAAATATGATTTATGATTTAGAACTTTTTACCCATTAGACGGGGTAACTTGGAACAGCCAGGTGGCAAACAGGTTTAATGCCTTATTTTAATTTTAAATGTATTTTTCAAAATAATTACATTTTTAACTAATGAAAAAACTACCAACGGAAGAAAATACTTTTATTATAGATTTTTAAAGATTACCGTTTATCTCCCGATAGCAAAGACATAAGAATCAAGGTTATAGCTGGTTATACATCTTTTTACCTCTACTTTCAAATATTGTTGTTAAACAATGCATTCATGTATTACTATCTATTCTTCGATAAATTCTGAAAAATTATAACTGGGAAAATGTTATTCGACAAATTGTCCCTTTGATCGATACCAAATTTAGGTTCTGAATTTAAACAACATAAATAAAAAAATAATATAACCTAGAAAATGTTTTATAAATACCAATGAGTATATAATTATACAAATGAGATCTTTCAGAGCACCGTGTTTGAGAAAAATATGATTGCAAAAAGTGCATTTTCATATTAACATTTCAAAAAAGTTGATATTGTTGAGTTTCTCGTAACACTTGCGGCCCTACTACATGATTTTACTGAATTGCAAATTTACAGCTGTTTTTGTAAGAAACACGTGTGATTTTATATTTTTATAATTTAGTACACAAGAAATAACATACTAAAATTTTGTAACTCTAGTATAACGTTTTATATTTTTAAATATTTTTCAAAATACTCATGAAACCGTGGACTTGCAACTATTGCAAGAGTGCATTTGTATACAAAATTGCACATTTATAGCTTTTTTTGTTAGAAACATATGTGATTTTATATTTTTATAATTGAATACATACATTAGGTAATAACATACTAAAATTTCATAGCTCTAGTATAATATTTTATATTTTTAAAACATTTTTCAAAAGTACGTCTCATATCATATCCAACCGTCAATTCGCAACTAATAAAATAGAGTATGCAAGTGTGCATTGCCATTTTTTAGTTTCTTCTGTTAGAAACATATGTGATTTTATATTTTTATAATTCAGTACACATATTAAGAAATAACATAGTTCAATTTCATAACTTTATTACAACGCTTTATATTTTTAAAATATATTTTAAGCCGTCAATTTGTTTTCGTCGCAACGTTTACTACAGTTTTTGTATATAAATAAAACTACAAACAAAACTACTTACTACAATTTAATCATAATTAAATAATATTCACGTAAAACATCCTATTAAACATCATCCGTCAAAAACGTTTGACACTTGACGTATTAGCCACCGTCCATTGTTTTATTTAAATTACGCTTCTACAAAAATGTTCAAATTAAAAATGTAAAGTTTCTACGCGATTTTGAAATAATATCTCACCTTTCCGACAACCTACTGATTAGCACGATTTTTTAAAGACTAAGACTGGCCAAATCGGTTTAGCCGTTTTCGAGTTTTACCGAATCATTTGAACGAGAGCTCCATTTTTATATATATATATATATATATATATATATATATATATATATACATATATATAAATATATAAATAATCATTGTGTTGTTTTCTAAAGGTATGGGCAGTCAGGCCAGCAACCAGGTGATGGCCGGGCAAAATATTAGTGGGGCACAACAAGCAATGTTCCAGAATCAGCAATATGGAAATATGCCTCAAGGTTTGTTTCGAATTTACTTTGAGAAGTTATATTAGATTACAATACAAGTTTTGTACAATTTTGTTCGTTTGTTTTAGGTATGAACCAAAATTATCCTGGTTACACTGGACAACCTACTAACCAGCAGGCTATGATGGGCGGATTCCAAGGCCAGCAGCAGTTTACTAATCAACAGGTAATTTGACTTTGACCAAGTTTCTTAAAATTTATTTTGACTTATAAATATTTATTTTAGAATACTGCTATGATGAATCAGCAGCAACGCAATGCACATGCAGAATACATGGCGCAGAGGGTGAATAGGGGATCTTATATGCAGCAGGTGAATAGAATTACAAAATTTTACATACTGGTCGCATTTGTATTTGTAATTTATCTTTTGTCTGTTTTATTTTTTTGCAGCAGCAAGCACCAAATGTGACAATGAACACGATGGGTGGACCTGCACCTCCGTATCCTAGAGGCGGTCAACCTGGATCTCAAAATCAAGTACCACAATTTCCTCAGGTAATGAATAAAAAATTTCTATCTGTCTCGGAATTCGATATACACACCTGTAAGTCTGTAAATAACTGTATTCTGCACTCTGAAAGTTGTCTCAAAACCTACATATGTTGCATACAGAGTGTAACGATGCCATACACCACTAGTTAGATTTAAATTTAACCTACTATAACTAATTTAATTGTTTAATATAAACTTTACACAGTATAACTTACTCAAACAAAAGAATTAGTTTGATTGTGCAAAAACAATAACCAGAGACGTAGAAAAATCATCTACAATCTTATAAAATCCGTCGCAAAATTATAAATCTTACACCTTATATTACATCGATTGCTAGTCGAGCGCAAAATAAGTGCTCAAACATAAAAGGAACTGTGTGACGTCACATGTCTGAGCGAACGTTGCCGACGACAATCGTGGAATCTCTAAAACTGCAGTTCCTGACTATAGACAAATGTAGTCAATTCTTCACTCAATATCAGTAAAATATTTTTACATTTTAAATGTATTAAATTAAATATTTATTATATTTTAATTGTAATAAATTAAAACAGACCCAAGTACGTATTTGTGCTAATTTTACAACGTTTACACTAGAAGTATAACTTCAAATTATTACTATCGGATGAACCGAAGAGTGACATATTTTAAAGTACTTTTGCTATTTGGATTCTATGCAAAAAGACCTTTCAAATGATACCCCACATGATATACAAGATACAATCTAAAATTTTTGAAGTAAAACTTCTTTAAGCTCGTTTAATAAAAATGCGTAAAAAGTGTATATTTTGTGGACAAATCACATAGTTAATTTTAGTATTTGTTCCAAAATTTTTACACCTCACATATTTGAACAAAAATTATTAAATTTCAATATTCTAATATTTTTTGCCTTAAAGTATGATTATGTATATAATGTTTTTATTACAATATAATTATTTTTTGTGAAAATCGTTTTCTACTGGTCGAGACCTTTCAAACGATACCTCACATGATATAAAAGATACAATCTAAAATTTTTGAAGTAAAACTTCTTTAAGCTCGTTTAATAAAAATGAGTAAAAAGTGTATATTTTGTGGACAAATCACAGTTAATTTTAGTATTTGCTACAAAAGGTTTAAATCTTGCATATTTTTCAAAAAACAATAAATTCTAACATTCTAATATTTTTTGCAATATAATATGGTTATGTATATAATGTTTTTATTTGTATATAATGTATATAATTGTTTTTTTTTTGCGAAAATCATGTTCTACTCGTCGAGACCTTTCAAATGATACCCCACATGCTATGAAACAAACAAACTGAAATTTTTGAAGTAAAACTTCTTTAAGCTCGTTTACTAAAAATGCGTAAAAAGTGTACATTTTGTGGACCAAAACATCATAAAATGTGTGCAATTCATGGACAAATTACATAGTTAATTGCAGTATTCGGATTCTACTCAAAAAGACCTTTTAAACGATACCCAACATGCCAAAACATACGATTTAAATTTTTTGAAGTAAATCTTCTTTAAGCTCGTTCGCTAAAAATGCGTAAAAAGTGTACATTTTGTGGACAAATTGCATAGTTAATTTCAGAATTCGGATTCTATTCAAAAAGACCTTTCAAACGATACCCCACATGCTATAAAACTTACAATCTAAGATTTTGAAGTAAAACTTTTTTAAGCTCGTTTACCAAAAATTCATTAAAAGTGCATATTTTGTGGACAAATCACATAGTTTATTGCAATATTCGGATTCTATTCAAAAATATCTTTCAAACGATACCCAACATGCCAAAAACTCACAATTTAATTAATTTGAAGTAAAACTTCTTTAAGCTCGTTTACTAAAAATCTCTACTAACTTGTCTTAAGCCATACACACCACTTACAACTATTCTATTACCATCTTTCCAGCAAATGAATCCCCAGCAGAGCCAAAGGATGCGCCAGCAGATGTTAGCCCTGCAGCAGCAACAGCAGCAGCAGGCCCAGCAGCAAGTCCAGCAGCAGGCGATGACCAACACTCAGCAGCAGGGAAGTCCTGCACTTGTTGCACAGCTGCAAAGACAGCTGAATCAGCCGCAGCAGGCGATGATGAATCAGTATTCGCATCAGCCGCCTCCGTATTAAAGAAACCGGTAAAAAACAATTTGAAAAATTTGCATCTTGATTTCTTTTTTATTTGTCTTGATTTTGTTAAATTAAATTTTATAAATATAAATTTTATAAAAACACAATTTTAAATTGACGTGGGAAAATTAGATTTTTTTTAATCGGGGTAATACATAGGGATAACAGCTCAATGTTATGGCAAGGCCATTGTTACGCTTTAACTTTCATATATTATGCTACTGAATCATACTGTCAAAATGTCGTGTATTTGCTGTGCATTCAGGCAGTTTTACACTGCAACGTCATAAAAGTAACAATCTAAAATTTTGAAGTAAAACTTCTTTAGACTGTTCTGTTACATGTGTAAATTTTGTGGACAAATCACTTAGTTAATTGCAATATCCGGATTCTATTCAAAAAGACCTTCCAAACGATACCCAACATGCCAAATAACACAATTTAATTTTTTAAAGTCACTCGTATGTTATGAAGCTGGGTCAGAAACACTCTGTTATCTAACATCGTTTTTTGACGTTTGGGCGGTTTTTAGGTTACATTTTTTATGTGACAACTTGAGAAATACGCCTGACTGCACAGCAACCGCAATTGGCTTTGTAATATTTAGTATGGAAAGTTCTTCATAACATAGCCTTGCCATAACATTAAATAGATTGCAATTTAAATTGTTTCCGCACTCCATAGAGGCGCCACTAACTGTAGCACGTACATTTACCTTTGGGTTTAATTCTGGATAAGATTTATATAAATATATAATAAAGAAAAGATAAATCTGGTTATTTTGAGAACAAAATATATTCGTGTGAAATATATTTTTAACTAAATCACCAAAAAAATTATATAATAAAAAAATTCAATGTTTAAAGTACGTGTATTATAATTAGAAAAACAGTTTTATCAAAAAAGTGATAAATTTGAGCACAGTACATCATTTGTTCCATTTTTATCTTTAATTTCTATTTGCCCGTCAGTAGAGTCCTTTCTCACTTTTATTATTTATAATGTTTATATTTTTATGAAAATCGTTTTCTACTCGTCGAGACCTTTTAAACGATACCCCACAAGCCATACAATGTACAATCTTAAATTTTTGAAGTAAAACTTCTACAAGCTCATTTAATAAAAATGCGTAAAAAGTATGCATTTCACGGTTAAATTACATAGTTAATTGCAGTATTCGGATTCTATTCAAAAATACCTTTCAAATGATACCCAACATGCCGAAAAAATATAATTTAATTTTTTTGAAGCTCGTATAATAAAAATGCGCCAAAAGTGTGCATTTTGTAGACAAATCACATAGTTAATTGCAGTATTCGGATTCTATACAAAAATACCTTTCAAATGATACCCAACATGTCATAAAATCACAACTTAATTTTTTTGAAGTAAAACTTCTTTAAGCTCGTTTACTAAAAATGCGTAAAAAGTGTATATTTTGAGGACAGATTACAAAGTTAATTTTAGTATGTGTGACAAAAGTTTCACACCTCACATATTTAAAAAAAAATGATAAATTTTAACATTCTCATATTTTTGCAATAAAATATTACGTAATATGATAATTTTTTATGAAAATCGTTTTCTACTTGTCTAGACCTTTTAAACGATACCCCACAAGCCATAAAAGAAACGATCTAAAATTTTGAAGTAAAACTTCTTTAGACTGTTCGGCTACAAACTTTTGGTTTTTACTATCTTATTTTACTTTAAAATGAGAAAATAAGCCTAATCGAGAATAAATTTTACAAATCTACAAATTTTTGGTTTTCACTATCTTATTTCACGTTAAAATAATATAATAAATTTATACGAGAATAAATCAATTGCCTTTAGAAAATTAAGAATAGTTAGACCCTCTGTTGAGTGCGGAGAACACTAAAACAGGATAAAGCACATTGGTTGTTTATTAACATCTTAGGTTATTTATTTCAGAAAAAAACTGTTTAGGTGTAAAATATTTTTCCCATACCCCAAAACAAAGTTAAAAGTATTTTTTCAAACCAAAAAACATTTTTATTATTTTTAATGATGTGTGTTACCCCTAAATTAATATTATAAACTGACCGGGCCTTATAAAAAAGCATCGTCATGGCTATCTTATGCTTGTTTCTTGTTAGTGAAACTGTGAAAATGTCTATCCATTTGCTGTGCGATCAGGCGTATTTTACATATAAACAAGCAAAGAAGAATCTTACCAAAACTGCATCCTCGAACATGCCCCCGTACTTGTTTTTTTGTAAAATACGCCTGATCGCACTGAAAATAGACATTTTCACAGTTTGCACAAACAAGAAACAAGCATAAGATAGCGTTATTTTATGAGGCAGAATTACCCTCTGAATTTGTATTTATTTACAAAATTATGGGTTAAGTTAGGGATAAAATATAAATGTTATGGTGGGTCTATCTTCGTATGAATTTGTTGTAACAAAAGTCAAAAAACTATGTGTTTGCTATATAAAACCTAACTTCACGTATGTGTTATCAGAAAGTTGCACTTACCATAAAATTGTTATTTGACGTTTATGCATTTTGGAGGTTAGGTTTTATGTGTTTATGAAGTTTGTGCATTTTGAAGGTTAGGTTTGATGTGTTTCTGACGTTTGTGCATTTTGAAGGTTAGGCTTTATGTGTTTACGCAGCAAATACAGAGATTTGACAGTTTCCTACTACCGACTCATACGAAGATAGACCCATAACATTTCTATTTTATTCTAAAATTGACCTTTTAAAATTACCTTTAGCAAAGTATCTAATTTAGATGTAAATTTTAACAATAGTTTTTAATATAATTAGTTAATTAATTTAATACAAAACGACTAATGGATGTTTTAAAATTTTATTATAAAAGATAATTTAAGTTTTATGATGTAATTATGACGCTAAAATATGTACACAGGTTTTAATTGTAAATTAATTAGTAATAAGGTAACTGATGCAGATTTAATTTAATATTTTATTAGTTTTAATATATTATTTTAATAATAATATATTATTTTAACAATATATTATTATTAAAATAATAATAATATGGACGAGAGATTTTATACAAGTCTTCGAGGCAAAATACATTGTTCAAATAATAATGAAAATTTATCTGACTTCTTATTAACTTCCCGTAGTGTAAGTTAGAAAATGATTTTTTTTACATATTTTCACGTTTCAGAGGTTTCTGAACATTTTGGCATGCCTTAGAAAAAATGCATGTGTGTGTGTATGTGTGGATACAATTTTACGTTCACGTTTTTGGGCGCACGGATTAACCGATTTAAATGATTCATTTACCATTCGATCCCTATTGATAGGGAGATGTGCTGATTAGTTTTTGGCAAAGGCAGGTCCAGCCGTTACGGAGATACGAAGCAAAGAGCGCAGAAAATACAAATTCGAGTTTTTGAGAGAACCGAGTATCTGATTTTAAAGATTCAAAAAGCATTTTATTTGTATTGACGGAATGAAGAATTTGTTACATTTTGGCGAAGACAGGTCCAGCAGTTTTGGAGATGCAGAGAAAAAAGTTGAAAAAATGTCATTTTGTGGTCAAAAATGATATTTTTGTGGCGATTTTATGAATGTTGATCAACCGATTTGAATGATTCCAAAAGCATTTAATTCCTATTGGTGGCTAAAGAGTTTTTGACGAAGGCAGGTCCAACTGTTTCGGAAACGCGGAGCAAAGGATATTCAGTTTTTGAGAGAAAGGAGCATTCGATTTGAATGATTTAACTATTTTGAAATTTTTCAGTTTTGAAAATTTGGTGAAAGTTTGAATTTTATTGAAATTCTTGGAAAAAATCGATTTTTTAAAATTTTTGAAGAATTTGTATATTTTTGAAAAGATTTGATTTTTTTTCTGAAAATTTCGAAATATTCTCAAATTTTTGTAAAAATTTTTTTTTAGATTTTGATTTTTTTTAAATATTTCAAAATTTAGATTTATTTTGAAAATTATGACAAATTTCGAAAATTTGGATTTTTCGAAACTTCAGTGTGTGTAATTTGAAAAGGACACTACTGACAAGCAACTTGAAAAACCATGGATAAAATTATAAAAAGGACTCTACTGACGAGCAAATTTAATATCTAGAGAGAAAATTAGAAGAAAGGACTCTACTGACGAGCAAATTAGAAGAAAAGGACTTTACTGACGAGCAAATTTAATATCTAGAGAGAACAATAGAAGAAAAGGATTCTACTGACGAGCAAATTTAGTACCTAGAGACAAAATTAGAGGAAAAGGACTCTACTTACGAGCAAAACTAAGAAAAATGAAAAATGTCTGCAAAATCTGATCTAGTAATTCTTCTGCATGATTATTTAAATTATTTAAAATCTAAAGATGAAAATAACGTTCCAGAAACCATTTCAGAACATTTAAGGAAGAAGGTACTAGGAAAAGACAGAAATTGTAAGATTTTTGTATTAATCATCATGCAGAAGAATTACTAGGTCGAAAACTTTATCGCTTCTTTACATTCTTCCATTTTTGCAACTTTTTCCAAATATTTTCATATCAAAATGAAATTATTGATAAGCAGGAGGAAAACAAGTAGACAGGTAAACAGGTAGGATTGTAGATTACACATATATACAAATCAAATTATTATTGATTAAATCGATTATTTACACATGTTACTAACTTTCTCTCAAGGCAAAAGTTTCAGGTTCAAGTTACACCTAGGTTTAGGACAAAGAAAACAATTATGTTGTACCTGGAGCTAAAAATAACTAAGCAGGTAACAAGATTCGAGAGTGAGAAAAACAAGGTAATTTCTTTATAATTTTTTACTAATTGTACTCCAACACAAACAAAATTTGTTCATTTTTTTTTAATTTTAGACTTTTGAATATCTTTTATAAGTTCTAAATTTTTTAGAATTTTTGGAAAAAATCTTTTTTTTAACTTCTCGTAGGGTAAGTTATTGTAATGGGCCAAAAATCGGAATTGAAAATTTTAACATTTCTCGACGTTTTGAAGGTTTCTGAACGTTTTGGCATACCTCAGAAAAAATGGATGTGTGTGTGTATGTGTGTGTGTATGTATGTATGGATACAAATTTCCAGTCACGTTTTAGGGCGCACGGATCAACCGATTTGAATGGTTAAAAAAACATTCGATCCTATTGATAGGGAAAAGAGCTGATTAGTTTTTGGCAAAGGCAGGTCCAGCCGTTTCGGAGATACGGAGCAAAGAGTGCAGAAAATAGAAATCGAATTTTTGAGAGAACGGAGTATCCGATTTGAATAATCTAAAAAACATTCAATTAGTAATGATTGGGAGAAGTGCTTATTAGTTTTTGGCAAAGGCAGGCGCCGCCATTTCGAAGATACGGAGCTAAATATGTAAAAAAATGGCAGTTTTTGAGAGAACTAAGCGCCCGATTTAAATGATTCCATTTTTGAAGTAAAACTTCTTTAGGCGCGATATGGGTGTAAAAATTTTTAGGCGCGACACGGGTGTAAATCCGTACAAATGCAACGAAAATGCCAACGTGTAGTTGAACACTACGACGCCGTAAGCGCTGATGTCGCGAGTATCCTTTAGGCGCGAGTCATGTCATGCGTAAGTCGAACGCTAAACCCTATATGAACTTGCATTAATTGAATCACGTTTTTTTTACAAAAGAAGAGGTTGCTGTATTATGTCCTCATGGAATAAGACTTTTCTTAGAGAATAAATGTGCCATGGAATATAATAAATTTATATTGAATCTCGTTGAAGACAAAATAATATCTACTGCCACGGATATTTATGTAGGTTGCCATGCGACAGATCAACAATCATACATTCGTCAGCAGTTTCAAAAAAATCGGTTATTGATACAGGGGGTTTGCCGTATGAAATAATTTTAGTTCTGAATAAATTTTACATAATAACAACTAATATTGATGTAAGTGATGGCTTAGCTAATGGTTGTGTGGGAAAATTAGTGTACATAGAACGTGGCGATAATGATGAACTTCTACGTTTATGGTTTGAATTTCCCGGTAAGATAGGTAACAAAATTAGGAAGAAAGCTTCACATCATATTCAAACTCTTAATATCAGTAGGACAGCTGTGCCGATGCTCAGGAGATCTTATTATTGATGTTATATGATTATTAAAAGATGATTTTTAAAATTCAAATATGATGTTTTTTTTTATTTTTATCTTAATTGCCTACTCATACAATATTAAAAGTTTTACTTCAATCGCGTGTGATCCTTACGCGCACTCTTTTTTTTTTTTTTTTTTTTTTTTTTAGGGATATTTTGAAAATATGTATTCGATTTCCTTTGAAAATTTCGAAATATTCTCAAATTTTTGTAAGAAATCGTTTTTTTTTCAAATTATGCGATTAAAAAATAAAATATTTTTTTCATATTATCAAAGAAATATAAATATATAATTTTTCATATTATTACAAAAATTATTTTTTCATATTATCAAAGAAATTTCGTATTGCTTTCTGTATTCAGATTTTAATAAAAAAGACCTTTCAAATGATATCCCACAAGGGATAAAAGATACAATCTGAAATTTTTGAAGTAAAACTTCTTTAGGCTAAGGCTAAGGTTCATGATTCTTTACTAGATAGTTATAATCCAACTAAAAAAGAAAATAATTTATTCAATCATTATACAATAATCATCACTTCATAATTATTTCTTCATGAAAAAAGATGATATACTCTTGGTTCCACTTGCAGCCTTGCCCCAAGCCTTCTCTTTTGCAGAAGGAGCTTTCGTTTTTTCTACTTTAATCGGCATTACATAGTCTTCAGTATTCTTTTCTAATTTGATTTTCTTTGTATTCTTATCATTTGTCGCTAAAGATTTTCTTTTTGGTTGTCTGGTTGTTCGGTTTCCGGAATTCCTAGATGGACTTTTA